TGAAGAGACAGCCCAGCCTGCGTTCTGTGAAAATTTACTCGGAATCTCTACGCTTCAACAGGCAACATTCAATGCCGTCGTTTCCATCACTAAGACTGTGAACCACAAATATAATCCCTCTCCACAAGAGTGCTTGAATTTGTAAGACATAGCTGTGGATGACAATAAGCAACGACTCGTGTGAAAGCCAATACATGCTACCAGAACTAAAGTCAGCCTATAGTCGCGAGTCTAAGTAGTCACAACATTACGCTTGAATATCTCTGCTATCAAAAAAAAAGTCTATGTAAACACTGGCTAGCTTATGGCGAACTCTTGGAGGAGCTTCAGATCAACGTTCACGATTTTTTCTCAATAGCGATGACTATCCACCCAAGTCATGACCGCGTCACCAGGCGATAAAGCGTTAGCATGTTACAGGGTTCCATGCACATTCCCCAGAACCAGGATGCAATGAGAGCCACCAATGCCTATCTCCGCTTTCAATTACACCACAATTACCACACTACTCTCAACAAAAGCATGCAACTGATCATGCAGCTCAGAAGTTCCCTCCTTCTCCTTTTGGGAAAGTGTACTGGATTCTTTGTCTATGCCAGTGCTTTGTGCCGCACTTCACTCAAACAACGGCAGTCTGCGGATGACTCGCATCACGAAGTCCAGCTGGAATGAAATACGAGCGGGACCTACCAGGCAAAGTTTCATCATTAACGAGACGGCAATCGCTATCTCCACTGGATTTGGAGCAAGGAACTGGTGCTCACATCCGATGGTACGAGCCGTCTGCCTATACCCTAGCTGCATACTTCTAGTAGGCAATCACTGCCCCTGCAACCGCCCTTCATGCCTTCTTCCAAAACTAGCATCACACTCCACTTCTATTGCACCTTAGCTCGCTGATTACTGAACACTCAATCCTGCAGGAATTCAGCAAAATGAACTGTCGATCTCATGACCACCAAGAATCGCAAAATCAGGAGAGAATCGTCTCCAATGAGATTTGCACACCTACACCCACACCCACACATGCTTAGTGTCTGGTTTACTGTCGACCAGGGAATATACCTGAGAATGAGCCCTTGTATAACGGGTAACTTTTACCATTGCTACGTATAGATATGCCGAACTACCGATAGGTTTATATGTGGAAGTGCACGCTCTAATATTAGTTGCACAGCCAATCAATCGAAATATCAAACTCTATGGCATAAACAGGAATTCACCTGGAAAAAGCTAAGTACTCAACTAATGTTATGTCAACTTCTATTTCCAAACTATGCATGTCACCAGCCATTACAGCGGGAAAAACACACCCTTGCTCGTCATCACGAACACGACACTACGAGACGTTGATATCATTTCCTGTTCGAATAAATTTATGTTCGTGTGAGTAGAGACGCCTCGTCCCAATACACTACCAAAGGCTATCTATAAGGTATCATCACATACATAGTCTAAGTCCTCCTCGGGAATGATAACGTATACCACATCACCGTCCCCACATTTGTCCTTCGAGGATCAAATATTTACTCCAAGTCAACTGATGACCTACTCAGCCCCAGTGATCCACTCCCACCACCCACCATGCGGCAACCCCGTCTCAATTCCACATGCCCTACAAACCGCCACAGCAACAGCGCCCAGCACACTGATACCTCCTAGAACCTTAACGAGCACGAAACTCTGTCTCCTGAGCTCATCACCAAAGTTACACAGGCCAAGCGGATCCCGCGAGTCCAGTCCAACAGCTTTTGCATACCGATGACTGACTTTACTACTTTTCTTTTCATCGCCGTGGCGGACGACTGCCCACTCAGCTCTGGGTGGACCGCCCGGTGATGCGACGATTGTACCCTTGGATACCTCTTCGCCGACACGTTCAAGTAGCCATCTCGCCCTATCATTGTTTTGTAGTTCCTCGAACCGTTCCCTTTCGTTGCGGCGACTGCGCTGGAGGTCTGTTGCCCATCTTGCTATCCTTATCTCACTAAGGCCTTGTTCCCCTTGTCTGGCATTGTTGTATCTCGCGAGAGAGAAGTTGCCTGGGGGCTCGAGGGTGTCGGAGTTTGCGAGCGAGGGTGAGGATGCGAGGAGTGGGGATTGGAGGTTCGAAGGGTAGAACGGAGACCCAGAGCCTGGTACCAAGACACCAGATGGTGACGTGGCAGAGAAGACTGAAGATGCTACGGATGCTGACGGACATGTTAGCTTGCGTGACGCCAAGAGAGATGATGCTTTACAATTCATGTTGCCCCCATTTAGTCCCACTGAAGCTGTTGTTGGACTGCGTGGTTGAGCCAGACCTTGCATCATCATGGAATCTCCTGGTAGCTTCGTCCTACGTCGCCATGCTAGGAACTTCTTCGCTGCTGAATGCCGAAGCCAGGCAATAGATTCCGGGTCGAAGACTTGGGTTACTAACGCAGCCAGTTCGGAAGGCAGAAGGGGCTGCACGTAGTCAGGCGACATTAGCAACGATGCGTCCATGTTGTCATTGTCTGGGCCAGATGTCGAAGAGACTGCGTAAGGATATGTCGGTGTAGTGAAGGGATATTCGGCTGCTTCGCTTGGTTCTCCGGATGACGAGGTCCTGGCAACCGGAAGGCCTTGCACGGCAAGTAATGCGTCGTCCATGGCCTTTCCGAAGAAAAATGGTCTGACAGCAGTGGTCTGCAGGCGGGCGAGGATAGAAGTCTTCAAAGCCACTACTTCCTGTGCCGAAAGAGTGTCTGATTTTGCGATGACAGGCACAACGTTGGTAAAGTACGATAATCGTTGCATGTACTCAATGTCTTTCGCTATGTCTGTATCTATATGGAAGTCAGTAATAAGCACGGTACTAGCGAAAATTGAGCTTACGCGGTGGTAACAAATATATCACGAGGTCAACTAAGACACCCCCACTACCACTGACGACTCCAAGCACATCATTGTCTTCTAAGGTTGTTACGGATGATGTTTGATATAGCATTGACTCAACATAGTCTACCACCATGCCAATGTCTTTGTCCGCTGAACCCTGCGAATAGCCGGGTGTGTCTACGAAACAGATGTTTCTTTCGAGTACGGTGTCAATACTGCTCTTTCTTCTTCGCAGTACGCCACTATCTTCGGCATCAGTCCACCAGTGGGGATAAGGCTTCGTGCTTGCATGGATTTCAGTCACTCGTGTTGTGACTGCGTGCTCTGCTTTCTTTGTACGAGACTTAGATTTCTGGGGGCGTGGCTGCGCATACGATTGGGAGGGTGATAGCGGATCTACGTGCACGATGTCTTCGCAGACCTGGACAATGGATCGAACGAGAGAGGACTTGCCGACACCTATATCGTGCTGTCAGTTTAGCCTCTGTGCGAAGTAATTGGCGCGCATCGCGTCGACCACGCACCTGTTTCACCCGCCACCATAACTCTGAGCTTCCCCATAGCTTTTCCCTTTGTTGTGAAAGGTCTTCTGGTAGGCATCTGCATCTCAGGCATGACGAGCTGTGGAAAGCTCATAGTATCCTGTTGCGTCTCCATCTGCTCTTCCTCCTCTCCACTTGAGACAACGGCCTGGCTCACGGCATCATCCATAGTAGATTCCTCGTCGGACAGCTTGAGGGAAACAATAGAAGCCGACCTGGGCGTGCTCCCCATGGCGGATGTGGGGAGTGGAGAAGGGATGTCGGCGCTCGTGACGGGCAGTTTAAAGTGAGTAGTCGAGTCATGGTTGGTGAAGTTCCTCCTCAGTTTCCGTACCGAAGTGGTTCTGGATTTATCTTGTGGTGGAACTGAGTCTGTCGAAGAGCTGTGGGATTCGGATCTTGAACTCTTCGCACCCTGATGCCGTGTCTTGCTAGCTGTTTCTGTCTCTGCGCCAGCTGCTGTACCTTCTGGGCCAAAGGCAGCGTCTAGAGTATCTGCAAGACTTTGTACTCCAAAGTTGTTATCTTGCTGTTTCGCTGTAGAAGTCGCACTGTGAGGAGCCATGGTATGCTCCAAATCCCCGACGCGTTTCATGACAAAGGTAGTGGGGACATTGCTCGAAGGGGCGGCAGGATGATCCACGCTTGACTTGCGAGACCGCGGCTTGACAGTAGGAGGCAGGGCGTCACCGCCCAGTTGAGGTCGCATGTTTGCGGTATTCTTGGGGCATATGTTGTCGAGTGTACGAATACAGAAGTCGGATGGCGACACACCTGATCAGCCTCAATAGGGATGCCGAGTGGTGATGTGATGCACGCGACGGCCCCGCTTAGCCCCGCGCGATCTACTGCACCCTTAGTCCTGCGATAGCGCGCCGATGCCTTTTAAGTGGAGTTGGAGGAAGAGCAAACGGGTGTAGGTATCATGGTACAAGTCATCCCCTATACATAAAACGCAGGTTGCCGCGCCCTGAAGCTTATGGGCTGTTGCTGATGCAGGTGGGCTTGCGCGTCCTCGAATCAGCTATCACCGTAGCGCTAGGCTAAGCCATTGTCGCACTATCAGGTGACGTTATCAGCAATCACAAGACGACCGCACATCAGTTCCGTACACAGCATTCGAGCATATATCATTTATTGTATTCGTACTAGATCATCTCACAGTTTGGCTGTCATTGTCCGTCTGATCCTCTTATCGTCGAAGCCATGCTGTACACCCATTACACCAGATGCCATGACATCCCTAGCCCGTACCTAGGACCCACCAGATAGCCTTCCCTAAACATTAGGTGACCAAGAATGCGACTGCGAAGAAGAGAATACGTTCGAAAACGACGAAACAGATACACACGGATACAGGAAGGGAATATGCAGAAACGAAACCACTCGCTATGCAAGGGCTCAGAACCCTAAGACGAACGCGTACGCCCAGACTTTTCCTCGAAATGAAATGACTTTTATACAAGCGCTGAAAGGGGTCGAGTACAGTACATGGCTAAAGCCGTCAGTCGTTAGGCCGTCGAGTCAAACGGACTCAACAATGGATGGATGGATGAAGAATAGGAAGGAAATGAGGTGTGAAGTAGCGTGATTCCTCTACGCCTCCTGGGGGGCAGCACCACCACGACCGCCGCGCATAGAACCACCGCGACCGCGGGGCTGGAAGTTACCGCGGGGACCTTGGCCACCCATGCCGCCACGGCCACGAGGAGCACCGCCGCGAGAGAATCCACCTCCCCTGTTGAATTGGCCAGGGTTCTGACGGCGTTCCTCGACCTTGATCTCGATACCGTTGATCGTGTGGGGGTTAGCAGCGACAGCAGCCTGGAATCCAGCGGGAGTCTTGAAATCGACGAAAGCGCAGTTCTGAGATATGTTAGCTGGAACGTGGTATGGTTGGATGCTTTTGCTTACTTTGCCGCGGCTGATGTCAAGGTACTCGATCTCACCGTACTTGGTAAGGGCAGTCTTCAGAGCAGCGTCGTCAACCTGGCTGTAGACGTTCTTGATGTAGGCGCGCTTCTGGTCGGGGTCGGCAGCGGGTCCTGCATTCTGTGCACGAGACTGCTCCTTCTTGTGTCCAGTAGCTGTCTGCCAGCCAGCGGCCTCACCCTGGCTAGTCGCTGGGGACTGGTCACGGGCGGGTGCTGCAGTCTGGCTAGAGGCGGCGGCAGCAGCAGCGGGTTGAGAGGGAGCGGCGGTAGCGGCCTTGGAATCCTTAGGGGCCTGCTGGGCGGCGGGGGCGTTAACGACGGGAGTAGCGACCTTGTGTGCGGAGGCTGCGAGGCTGGCCCAGGTTCGGGGAGCGGCAGGCTTAGGAGGACCAGAGGGCATGGCGACAGGAGCGGCCTTTTGTGCAGATTGTGCGGGCGCTGAGGCGGCTTCGGCGGGCTTCTCAGATTCGGTGGTCTTCTCAGCAGCGGCTGGCTCTTCAGCGGTCTTCTCCTCAACGGCGGCAGGTGCCTCTTCCGCTGCAGGTTGCTCAATCTCCTCTGGAACCTGTTGGGCAGGAGCGGCGGGCGCAACCTCCTCTACAGACGGCTCCTCTTGCGCGGCCTGGTGCAGCTTGTCGTCAACCTTGTTCAGATCCTCCTCGCTGGTCGCGATCTCGTCGCTCTTGTTCAGGTCGGCGTTCTCTGGGACGGCAGCAGTAGGAGCTGGCTCAGTGACACCATTGGCGGGTGCGGCCTGCTCCTGCTGGTCCTCATCCTCCTCCACGGGTTCGTCGGCAAGGTAGCGGAAGATGTCGTTGAGGACGAAGTAGCCGTTGGTCTGCTCGGCGAGAACAAAAGTCTGAACGAAGCGCTTGTGGGGCTGGCCTTGGTTGGAGATCTCACCAATGACCTGGATGACGATGTTGGCATCGGAGCCCTGGGAGTCGACGTTGGTGACGCGGACCTTGGTGTCCTTGAAGTCGAGCTCCTTGATGCGCTCGTTGATGGCCTATGCATGTGTCAGCTTGTCTATGTTGCAATTGGGTATGTCTCATATACCTTCTGGCCTAGGCAGACGTTCACCTTGTCCTCCTCAACACCGGAAACATACTGGGAGCGCTTGTTGTAGAAAAGCTGTGATTTGAGTCAGTCGCGTGTCCTGCAGAAGAAGGCTACTGGGCAGCATGCGACTTACGTAGAGTCGGTCAGGGCTCTTGCTGAGGGTGGTGTAGTACTGCTCGACAAAGTACCAGCCGACCTCATCCTTGGGGATCTCTGAGGCAGCGGCTTGTTGTGCGGGCTGCGAGGCAGTGGGCTGCTGCGAGGGTGTGAAGTTGGAGGCGCCGGTGGAGTAGCTGTTCTCGTACTGCTGCGGCGCGTAGTTGCCGTTGACAGGGCCGGATGACTCGGTGGATGCCATATTGAATGTGAAGGTGGTGGGAAGGATATGCGGCGGGACGAAGGGCAAATTGCGTTTTGTTTTGCGCGAAGTCTAGTGGGGTGCGAGGTACGCGAGGCAGAAGATAGGCGCCTAGATGCTAAGAGAGCACGTCAATGTCAGTAGTGTAAAAAGCTGCCATCGGGCTATTTGCGCATACCGGGCCGTTGTCACAGAGATGGAAGGGAATCCGTCGAGACTGGAGACTACGTGGGCGGGGTGATGGCGGTCGGCGGATTAGATGGCAGAAAATACAAAGCTCCCTAAGGATACGAGAGAGATGGAATCAGAGCGTCAGGGTAGTAAGAGACTGGGAGTAGGTTGGCCGGTTGTGCGCGTGCAAGCAGTGCTAGTGAGGACCACACTGATGAGGAGGGCAAAATCGATTGGAAGGCTGGCGAACAACCAAGTCTGTGCGTCTTCGCGTCTTCCCGATCAAGCGAACCTGCCCTGCACCTCCACATGTCGCCTCTCCACCATTACCATCATCTTGCTCTCAGACGCCTAGACAATTCTTGGATCAAGTCAACTCTTGCAAACGGTTGCTTTGGTAGCTTTCTTCGTGCTTCCGCCTATCAAACAGCAACTGCAGCCACTAGTAGACTATGCACGACCCGTGTCAGTACCAATTTTGCCCAGGTAGAATATGGCCGTCTCCCTGTTACACGTGCTGAACCGAACGCAGAGATATGCTTTGTAGTCGAACCCAGTAGAAAGCTGCTTCACATCGCTGCTTACATATATGCGTTGCATGTTCAGTACAACGGCACCAGTACCCTGTCGGACGCCATCTCGGACATGTCACCATCTCCGACATCTCCTTATTCATGTCCGCTAGGCACGTTAGTCCTCAAACCTTGCAGATTTATCACCGAGCTCACCAGCAAGACGTTTCAAAAATCCGAGCTGGTCTCTTTGGAATATGAGTCACTAAGTCCGTACTTGTTGCCCTTTTTCTTGTTGTGGAAGGGGCGCACGTTGTAGGTGTACCACGTTACTGGCTCGGTGTGTCGGCCTCATACCAAGGCGAGGCCGAGACCGAGCAGCCCTACGTGCAAGCTTACCCAGATTGGGACCATCTCTGCGTTCCACGGAGTCCAAAGTAAGTAGCAAGAGTTGCTACCTATCTTACAGCCAATCTCTTGAATCCACTACTTAATCATGTCCAAGCCCAATTTTCCAAGACTTGTGTCACCAACTCCCCTTACTTTCTAGCCTCCGATCCACCGCCATCTTGTCTCACCATGTCACAAACGACAAGCTCAGTGGCCTCGATTCACGAGGAGAAAGCACGACTGCCTCATACCGACGTCGAACAGCCCCCAGTATCACTTGACGAAAAGCAACCAGACACGACCGAGCCTCCAGCGGTCGTGAGTCCATTCCATCCAAGTCAGTTTCCTGATGGCGGAAGGGATGCATACCTGTGTCTCCTCGGAGGCTTCTGCTGTCTGTTCTGCTCATTCGGATGGCTGAACGCCGTCGGAGTGTTCCAGAGCTACTACCAGCGGAACCAACTCAGTGACTACTCGCCTTCTACCATCGCCTGGATAGCCTCTCTCGAGATCTTCGTCATGTTCGCGCCTGGACCTATCGTCGGATTCATCTATGACAACTACGGCCCTAGATACATACTGCTATTTGGCACCTTCTTCCATGTCTTTGGTCTCATGATGACGAGCCTCTGCACCGAGTACTGGCAGTTTGTTCTCGCACAAGGAATCTGTAGCCCCCTGGGCTTGAACTGCATCTTCCAGGCGGGAACTAGCACCATCCCTACTTGGTTTCTCAAGAAGAGAGGGCTGGCGTACGGAGTCATGGCTGCTGGCAGTGGACTAGGCGGCATCATCTTCCCCATTATGGCAACGCATCTCATCCCCCAAATTGGCTATGGCTGGACGATGAGAACATTAGCGTTCCTGATTCTCGGTATGATGGGTATCGCATTCGTCACTGTCAAGTCTCGTCTACCGCCGAGGCCTAGAAAATTGGAACTCTGGGTCTTTCTGGAGCCCTTCAAGGACACTCGCTTCATCTTATTGACCATTGCGTCATTCATGTTCTTCATGGGGATGTGTAAGTTCCTGTCTTCCTTCGAACTTCACGTAAGCCAAATACTGACCCATGTCTAGTTATCCCCATCAACTTTATTGAGGTTGAAGCCATGTCGGATGGAATGTCAACTCGCTTAGCTGGATATCTCCTGGCTGTTCTCAACGCCGCAAGCATCTTCGGCCGTATCATCCCCGGTGCTCTCGCAGACAAGGTCGGCAAATTCAACATGCAATCATTGTGGTGTCTGGTAGCTGGCATCCTCGTCCTCGCATTGGCTCTCCCCGCATCTAGCAATGCGGCATACATCACGTTCGCTGCTCTCTACGGTTTCGCTTCGGGTGCTTTCGTCTCACTGTTGCCGGCCCAGATAGCACACATCTCCAAGGTCGATCAGATTGGAATACGCGTTGGTGTTGTATTTGCATGCATATCGTTTGCGGGCTTGGCCGGTAATCCGATTGCGGGAGCTATTGTCGATCAAAATAACGGAAAGTACTGGGGGCTGAACGTCTTTTCAGGTGTCATGCTCATGGCAGGGTCGGGTATGTATGTAGTAACGAGGATGTACATTGCGGATTGGAAAGTCTTTGCGCTAGTTTAGTAGTCTGTCGAGCTAGGAACATACCATGTAAATCTACGTGTACAGTATGCGTTACATCATCATATCACCTCAGTCGTTGACTAAATGCTTACAAAGGCACATTGCTTACAACTGAGTGCGGAACTTTGAGGTTTTACTTCGGTGCTGAACGAGGTCTGTGAGTGCCTGGCGTTCTTAAATCCGCAGAGCGCACGGACCATGGAATTCGTGATTGACAACTGCTCAACAGCATCGTCCCGTTCCGCATTCCACCACCTCACACTCCACATCACGAACTATGTCCGTCCCGCTGGATGAGTCCTGTCCAAACGCAATCTGTCAGCTTACGTACGCTGAGTTAAGCATTGGGCGCCCGGACTGATGAAGCAGGGGTTCCAAGGTTTGTCCGTTGTACGACGGTTGTACGATTTGCACATCACTTCGTACATGAACTTTCATGACCTTCCACCGTTGTACGCATCGCGCGCCACACACTTTTGCTTGACTTCGCTTAAGCATCATTTGCCGTTCTTTTACCGTTCCATCTCGATCTATCGTACCCAAAGTGTTGTACAAACGGGTAAAAACAAGCACAACGGAAAGACTTACCGAAGCGTGTTGTGCGACCACCCTTTGTACGCAGGGCATTAGGAAAAAAGTCATGCCCAAACAACGTCAGACCTGTACGCGATGCTCCCAACGACGGCAGAAGTGCGATCGAAAAGCGCCCTGCACGAGGTGTGTACAGAATAACGAAGGCCATCTATGCACTACCAAGTGGGTCAATGGATACAACCCAAATATTCATCGCAAATACCCCAGAAAGCCCTCGGGAGCTAGTGGAAGCGATACATCTTCGTCTGTTCCTTCTCCCGATGTAGATTCTCAGGCGCTGTTACCCTTGGTTCCTCATGCCCCACCCACGACCGAGGCTCGATCGAGTCAAGGCCAGCCCCTTGCAGATTCAGCATGGCGAAACAGCTTGCCTGAGATTAGCATCGGTGCAATACTGAAGGAAAAGGATGCAGACGCGAACCAAACCCTCTTCGACAAGAGTTTCTCTTACGCCAGATCGAAAGGACCAGTGCGAGATGCAGCGAACGGATCAAGCCCCCTTGCGGGTTGCTACTCCAACGCAGCGAGAATAGTGGAGACACAGTATCTACAGTCCATCTTACCGTCGAAAGATAAGCTAATGCTGATTGTGGATTACTACACGGAGTACATGGTATACTGGATTGGCGGCATCTTCCATGCGCCAAGCTTCAGAAGAAAGCTGCTCGCGGCCTACGGTCAGTCGTCTGAGCTCGATCTGCAAAGTCTCGATTGGAAATGGACTGCACTCTTATGTAAGTCATCTCAGTCACGAACGATGCAAGAGTCTTCAATGTGGCATGCTACTACTGGAAAGAGTTCCAATGATGGACTCTACATTGTCGTTCACTTAGAAGCTACTGACGTCGAATACCGTAGTTGCTATCCTCTCATCCAGTATAATCGGCTCTGCAGAAGGTGTTTCAGCCTCCTGGGGTTACTCACTTGATGACAAAGTCCAGCTAGCACGTGTATGGGGTGCCGCATCGATCTCATGTCTGAATCTTGGCAACTACACGTCGCAATATAGCATTCACTCGGTGCAGACGATATATATCATGCACGCATACGAACATCTCGTCGGCTCAACGAATCAATGGATTGCTTTGCGAAGCGTCGGCGTTGTCATTGCGAAGGGTTTGGGTTTGCACAGGTAAGTGTCACATGCTACTAAAAGAAGTATCGGTAACTAACGTTTTAGACTTGGTCCGCATCCAGACGATGAACGGATAACGGAACTAACCCCAGATCAGAAGGAAGCCTTTGTCGAGCGTGAGATTGGTCGCAGAGTGTGGTACGGGGTTGTGTCCCAAGAGTGGTATGTTTACAGCTCAATCAAGATGATTTGATAAGAACCAACTAATAGATACTATAGGTTGTGTTGCACTTCGCAGGCTGCCTATACGCTGACCCTCCAATGGCGACATTTCACGAGCGCAAGGCCACGCATGTTGGACGAGGAGACTATGACGCCGCTCTCCAATCCAGCAACCCCGACAGTCACCGCCGTCGGGCATTACTTCTTCGACTACGCTGCGGTACTCCTTGACGTTCATAACACTATGGTGGGGCTTCTAGATAAAGACGACGCTACCAAGTACGCTGCGATACTCAAACATGATGGTGAGATGCGCGCTACATGTACGGAGAAGGTCCCAGCATGCCTCTCACCCCGGACGCCGTACGATCCCAACTGGCCTCAGTGGGTGACTTGGGCGAGGAGACTGCATCAAGCGTCCGTCAACCATAAAATTATCATGAGTAAGTGGTAGCTCCATATTGCACCCATGTGAGACCTACGCTGACACTACTTACCATGCTCAGTTCACCAAAACTTCTTGAGCAAGAGCTTCAAGGATTTACGCTATACATACAGCAGATGGGCCTGTATGACCGCCGCACAGAACATTATCAACATATACAACGCCCGGGATGCCAACGAGCCGCAATGGTGGGTCGAGCAAGCTTTTGTCGTCACGGCTGGTATTTGCATGATATTGGAGCTCTTCCACCGCGCTGAGGCGGATGGGGAAGCTCAAGAGTACCAACTGTACGTGAAGAAGGCCGTCAGGTTCTTACAGCTGTTCTACACGTCGAGTGTTGCAGTACACGGTGTCCGTCTTCTCATGTCGCTCTTGCAAGAGTATGAGAAGCTGAAAGAAGTATCAAGCACGAAGACGGCACCACCGATGGAGACTTCAGCCTCACGACCCTGTGCTTGTGTTTCCGACAACATTGAGGACATCTCGATCACGGACGCGGCCCGCGGAAGTCATGCGTTCCCTGTGGTACCCGATATACAATTGTCATTCGACGATGCTTTCAATTTTGATATCGATGCACTAGGCTTCGATGATTTGATGGACTACCTCCCGAGTGTAGAAGGCTCGTTGGATAACAATGTCTTCCATACCAGCATGTTGTCAGCTAACGGATGGCCGACGTGGTAGTCTTTCTTTATGGAGAACCGCACTTGCCAATTCCCATGCTCGTTCTTTCCCGACGGCACGCAAGTGGTCTGACATCAGAGTAGCTCTTCCCGCATCAAACATGGCTTTTGGTTCAAGGTGTAAACCAAGGTTATTCTACTGGTTTACAATTCCGACTTCCAGACTCACTAGTCCTAATCGCAGAGCCTTTGTTTCTTCCTGACTACACTGCGCAAAATCACCCAACAATGTAAAGCAGAACATATCCCACTATAAGCAGGAGCTAACAAAGATAGTCTGTCAACAACGCCACCATGTCTCAAGATTCCGATCTCCATACGACGCTCGTGCTCGACGCATTGAGTAATGGCCTAAACATATCCATGGCAGAGCTCCTCGGAATCCTAGGTCGACAAGCCCCGATCTCGAACCTTCTCCTAGAGCCCATTCTCGGATTACAGCAGCTTGCCGCGACCACGACGCTGCTTGCTGTACCGAGCATCCATTCACAAAAGAAGGCGGCACTAGGGCCCGTGGCAGGAGAAACGGAAGAGGAACGGAAAGACCTGAAGAGGTTTCTAATCACGTACTGGATCGCTTTGGGTCTTGCTTGCCTGATCGCTGTATCTGCAGTCTGGACCAAAGTGCACATGGCGGCACACAAGGGCCGGAAAAAGTTCGAGACGAAGAAGAAGCCCCAGTCGGACGTTGAGAAATGGCATTTGCGGCGTCAGAGGGAGCGCGAGGCATCATTGCAGATGGGACAAGTCGATGATCAGGCTCCAGGCACATAACACCGTGGTTGAGCAAACGAGGGCGGATATGGTGTTACGGTGCATGGGGTCTTTCAGACGCGCTTCTGTGCATATCGCGCTTCAGCATGGTGCATGAATTCTATACAAATGACCTATATTAGTATACCATGCCCCACACGAAACCGGATGTCTTCTATAGCTCAAGAACATCTCGTATATGTTTCAATCGGTGTGTAGCTTTTCCCACAAAGTCACAGCCTTTCCCTTGTCGTTCTAGGCATGCAAGTCTCGGATCTAATGAATTGTGCCTTTGACTAACAGTAGACGCCGAAGACATTTGAGAGACCTTTTTGTCTATGGGGAACAAAAACTGACGACTGAACGTTCTTTAGGACGTACAATTATTTTGCGTGAAACTCATAAGAAACGAGTGCCTTCATTCACGGATAGGGAAACCGAATAGCCATTCAAACCTCGGCAACTCATCATACCCCACACACGTCGATCTCCCGTCGTGCATGTTGTCTACTACGGCCGCCGCATACTATACCATAATACCTTATTAATTTCAAATGACTATAGAGGTTTGAATAGAGCGAAAAGATGAAGGCGATCCACATCGAGAAGTTCGTTTCTGTAAGGCCATCCACAGACTCGATCGCACCACCGCTCTCTCTAATTAACACCACCTACTCAGAATGTCGCAGACCTACAACCATCTACCGTCCTACCCTCAACACCCAAATCACCCCGGGATGTCCATATAAAAATCAGCCACGCCGCGGTAACACACGTCGACCTCCTCTATGCACAGGGTCTGCATCAAAACAACCGCAGACATGTCCAACCACCCTTCACCCTAGGCACAGAGTTCTCGGGCGTCGTGACCCATAGCCCAGAAGATTGTTCATTCAAACCCGGCGATCGTGTCTTTGGCGGAGGTCTAGGCGCCTATGCGGAACAGATATGTGTCCCTGAAGATGCCGTCCGTCGTGTCCCATCTCAGTGGACGAATGCCGAAGCATGTGCAGTAGGCGCAAGTGGTGCGGTCAGCTATGGTGCTTTACTCTCCGTTGCGCAACTTCAAGCTGGAGAGACGGTACTTGTACTTGGTGCCAGTGGTGGACTAGGTGTCATGGCTGTGCAGATTGCAAAGGCTATTGGTTGCAAGGTCATTGCTGTCGTTGGCGGATCTGAAAAAGCTGGGGTGGTTAAGGGGATCGGTGCGGATGTTATTGTGGACTATGGAGACGAGGGGTGGGAAAACAGGGTTAGGGAGGCGACTAACGGTGGAGAGGGGGTGGATGTTGTGTATGATGGGATTGGGGCTGTGGAGAGTGGGATCAAGTGCCTGAAGTATCGGGGACGATTGGTTGTGGTAGGATTCGCAGCCAGGAATGGGAGCATTGAAAATGTAAGGACCAATCGAATTCTGCTCAAGGGAGTTGCAGTACTTGGTTATGTAAGTCCCACGTTCCCATGGCTTTGCTCTGGCCATTCTGTTGCGAGAGTGGCTTGCTGACCCATGGTAGCGGTTTGGAGAAGACGGCAGGAGAGACCCGCAAAGAACGAAGGATGTTTGGGACGGCTTTATTAAGCTAGTAGATGATGGGAAGATACGGCCTACCATATACAAGGAGGAGTATGCTGGGTTAGAGACGGTCAGTAAGGCGCTGGAAGATGTAAAGGCGCGGAAGGCATGGGGCAGGTCTGTGGTAAGGATATGCGATGAGGAACAGATGCGCGAGAATGGTGGACAGAAGGCGAGGCTATGACATCAGATATGGTTACATTTCTGCACACGGTGTGCGCTCGACGCGCCGCTTTGTGTCTGCATTCACCTTGGGCACACCGAATCCCCACTTTGCAAAACATGTGAAGCCAACGCGTTAGTGATGCTTCACCTCATAGGCCTTGTGGCGTCGATTCCCCCGACGGGCGCACGGCCCATTGCGGCGCGCCGGCTTAGCGCGGTTTCTTTGGATGGACCTGGTTCGACGTTCCCAAGGTTAAAACAAACCCGTCTCCATCGACGCTTGACGTCTGCTCTCACTTCTCCTTCTTATTTCTCTCCAACCGCGCGCTGACCTCGAGAACTGGTCAACGGTCAGCCTCACCCTCACACTAGTCTGATCGCCGCAGTCGCACCCCCGAGCTTCGCGACAGCTTTCACAGGGAGACGCCTATTTATCACGACGCCAACTCGCAATCATGGCGTCTTACGGCAGCGATCCCGAGGAAGAGGAAGAGGACTTCAACCCGGCACCTGAAATCGACGAAGATGACATCGCGCCAACCAACAAGGCCTCGCGCAGGCCGGCAGACGAAGACGAAGAGGACGAAGTCGATGCGCCGAACAGGATGGGTAATGACGACGAAGATGAAGAGGGCGGCGGCATAGATGTCGACGATGACGATGACGATGAGGAGGATGACGAAGAAGATGAAGACGACGAAGATGTTGTCGTACGTCTCAATAGGAGCATCTCATTCTTTGCCTAATTACTGACCATCCTAGGCCCGACCCGCCAAGCGGAGAAAGAAGGCGAAGCGAAACATGTTCATTGATGTTGAAGCCGAAGTCGATGAAGACGAAGAGGAAGAGGAAGAAGGCGACGATGAAGGTGTTGATGAAGTCCACCCCGACGACCTCCTCGAGCCCACGGGCGCTGACCTCGACGACCGACACCACCGCGAACTAGACATGCGCCGCGAAGTAAACGCACAAAAGGATGTCGAGGAGCTTGCCAAGGAGTTCGACGAGAAGTACAGGCGACGTGAAATGCAGAGCGCTCGTCGCGGTGGTGCTGGTGCCGTTCCCCTGGCTTTGCCCACCGTTGACGATCCATCTATCTGGGGTTGCAAGTGCCGTCCTGGAAAAGAGCGCGAGATTGTCATGGCTATTCAGAAGCGCATCGACGAGAAGATGCGCGCGGGCCAGCCAATCCAGGTCTACTCTGCTTTTGAACGAGGCCCTACAGGACCTCAGTCCGGTTTCCTCTACGTGGAAGCCGACTCGAAGCAGGCTGTTGTTGAGCTGATTGAGGGCATCCAGAATGTCTTCATGGGCTCCGGCCAATTCTCCATTCCCCCCAAAGAGCGTCCAGATCTGCTCCGCAAGAAGAAGCGCGCGCCATTAGAAGTCGGCAAGTTTGTGCGCATGTTACGACCTCCCACATACAAGGGCGATCTCGCAAAGGTCGTTGAAGTCTCGACCAACGGTCTTGACTGTGTCGTACAACTCGTACCACGTCTAGACTACGGTCTGAACGACGATGCCAACGCCGCACAAGACAACAAGCGTAAGCGCGGTTTCTTTGGTCGACAGACCGAGCGTCCACCCGCCAAACTCTTCAACGAAGCCGAAGCGAAGAAGCGACACATGAAGCATCTCAGCATGACCGGATCTGGCAACCAAAGGGCATACACCTACAAGGGCGAAGACTACCAGAACGGTTTCCTTATCAAGGAAGTCAAGGTCAACTGGGTCAGCACTGAAAAGGTCAACCCCAGGATGGAGGAGTTACAGTTCTTCGCAATTCAGAACGCAGATGGTACAGAGACCATGGATCTTCTGGCAGTCCAGGCTGCGCAAAAGGCTGCAGACTCTGGCTCTGCCTTTGCTGCAGGAGACAATGTCGAGATCTACACTGGTGAACAGAAGGGTATCCGCGGTACCACTGTTACCGTAATTGGTGACATCCTCACACTCCGCGTCAGCGAAGGCGATCTTAGGGGCAGGCGGATTGATGCTCCCGTCAAGACTCTACGAAAGCTTTTCCGAGACGGTGACCACGTAAAGGTCATTGGTGGCAGCAAGTACGTCGACGAAGTTGGTCTAGTCACCAGGATCAAGGACGATAAGATTACCTTGCTTTGTGACTCTACCCAGCAGGAAATCACTGTCTTTAGCAAAGACCTGAAGCGCGCTGCTGATTCGGCAAACGTCGGTGCTGACTCCAACTTTGATCTCTACGACTTCGTACAGATTGAGTAAGTTCTCTCGCTGCCAATACAAGATGACCTACTAACAGACTATAGTGCCTCGACCATCGGTTGCGTTGTCCGTGTTGACCGAGAAGTCCTACGAATTGTCGATCAACAGGGCGATGTTCGCACACTCCTCCATACACAAGTCTCACAAATCGTCGGAAGGAACAAGCATGCTGTAGCAACCGACCGGGACGGTTCCGAGATCCGACACGAGGACGATGTCAAGGAGTACGGAGGCGAGGGCCGTCAAGGCAAGGTTCTATACATCCACCGAGGTACACTCTTCGTCCGCAACCGCGAACTAGTCGAGAATCAGGGTATCTTCGTGGTCCGAAGCAACAACGTTGTTACAATGGCAGCAAAGAGTGGTCGCGCCCAAGCCCAGGGCCCAGATCTCAGTGGCATCAACCCTGCCCTAAACGCAGGAGCGAACGGCAATGCGACCGCTATGCCTCCACCCCGCGCATCTTTCGGCCGCGATAAGCTCATTGGCAAAACAGTCGTCATTCGGAAGGGTGCCTACAAGGGTCTTTTGGGCATTGTCAAAGATACCATGAACGACGAAGCTCGCATCGAACTGCACACCAAGAACAAGCAGGTCTCAGTAAAGAAGGAGCTTCTCACTGTCAAGGATCCCATTACTGGCCAAAGCGTGGAGATCGGAGGCAAATTCCCTAACCGCTCGCGTGGAGGTTACTCAGGCGGCCAGACAAGCTACGGCGGTGCTGGCTCTGGTGGACGAACACCTGGCTGGGGCAACGCTGGTGGTGGCGGCGGCCGTACGCCTGGCTGGGGAGGTGGCGGTGGTGGTCGCACACCCGGCTGGGGAGGTGGTGCCGCAGCTGGAGGCCGCACGCCTGGTTGGGGAGGTGACGGCGGACGCACAGCTTATGGTGGAGGTGATGGATCGCGAACTGCTTATGGTGGTGGTGATGGCTCTCGAACAGCTTACGGCGGCGCAACTGCCTACGGAGGCGCCACATCTTACGGCGGAGCGACAGCTTACGGCGGCAACGACGGAAGCCGTACCGCCTATGGTGGTTTCAGCTCAGGTGGTCGCACACCTGGTTGGGGTGGATCGGGAGGAAACACCACTTCGAAATCTGGTGGTCTCTCTGCCCCCACGCCTGGCGCCTACAACGCCCCAACACCAGGTGCTTACGCAGCGCCTACACCCGGTGGTTATGGCGCGTACTCCGCCCCTACGCCGGGAGGACCACCCATGGATGCTCCCACGCCTGGCAACTACGCTGCGCCTACACCTGGTGATACATCGGGTGGTCGATATGGTCTTGCGGCGCCTACACCAGGCGCGTGGGATGCTGCAACGCCAGCACCTAGTGGCGATCCTGGGTACGATTAGTTGCCTAGTCTAGGAAGACCTTCCATCGAGACACCCACATCTGAAAATTATGTTGCGCCTCCTTCTGGTAGTAGACTGAATGGTCCACAGGATGCTGCGACTCGAACGTCTAATCCCAATCCTGAGTACGATTGGTTACCTAGTCTCTTGTAAGATAGATGGGCAGTCGCGGCGAGAGTCAGTTTGCGCCAGGTTGCAAAATGGTCTGGGTCTGCGTAACGCAGATGAGATCGGGGTTTTTTGTGTTCGTTCATTGCATTGCTGGAGTTTGCAAAACAGGATATCTTAAAGTCAGACTTCAATTTCAAATATCTCTTCCATGAGCATATGACTACTCTATTTGGTTGACGCTTATGATAACACGCAGCTGATGTAGTACGGATGTGACTGCCGACATGCGTGTACTCCGAGGAGAATCACAGATTGTGATTGCGACCGTTGTTCAAAGACTACTATTACTCTTTGGACAATTGTGAGGCAACGAATAATTCACATTCAGCTACTTGCAGGCTGAGCTATGATGCCACCATTCTTAGGCATCCCATTGGTTTTTCACATGTTGTTTGATCGACAGTTCATAGCGTCAGAACCGTCCAGATACAAGGATGCATAGAAGGTCACAATATGTATTCGTATAAAAAGAAGACTGGCGTGAGCCAGCGGGAAGTTTGAAGCATCAAGCCTAGATTGGTATTGAACATGTTTCTCTAAACAATCTTCTAGATAATAACTAGTAAAAAAAGTTGGTATCACCCCACCACTTCTCTGTGTAAATGCAAAGCAGTCGAGTATGGAAAATGAAAAAAGAAAACTCTTCTACTACTCGGCTCATCTACAACTCCACCTACTCCTCAACGATGCGACGAAATGTCTTGACAACAAGCAAAGGAACGCAAATCTAGTACTTGCGTACGCGCCTCTGAACAGGAGCGGGAGACTCAATAGCAGCGTTGACGCCAACCTTTGCATTAACAAGGGGCAAGTCAGCGGAGATCTCAAGGCTTGACCTCGACATGGGAGCCGCGGCAGGAATAGCGGCAGGGACAGCCGAGGTGTTACCACCAGCAAGGGCACCGATCTCGATCATGTTGTTCTGGCCAAGAGCGTTCTGGATGAAACGGGAGTTGAACTTGACAATCTTCTTGATGGCGTTGAAGTCCTCGACGTTGACGGGAAGAGGGTCCTTGACGATGAGGAAGGTTACACCCTCGGCGCAAGGAGGAGTGGTGAGGGAACCGCTGTATGTCTGGATGTCGGACGTCTTGAGGACAGAGACGACGTCGGTGAAGTCGATACCGTCGGAGATGTCGGTCTTGGTACCGGGTGTGGTGATAGCGGAAAGGGAGGACGACAGTGACTGGATCATGGAAGCAGAGTCGTTGGCGGAGACCTCGAACATGAGCGCGATGACCGCGAGCTGGCTCTCATCATCAACACCCTGGTGGACCATGTGAATCTCAAGAGGGAAGAATTCATCGTTGACGTGGTGCTCAGAGGGCGCGTGCATATGAAACTGGACAAGGCGGTAGTTGACACCAGCATAGCTGGTGGTGCCGTTGACGACAACTTCAATGGTCGTTCCGAGATTCTCGAAGACCACTGGGCCAGCGGGGATGTCGAGGGTAGGCCTGGAAGGTGCCGCGGTGATGGAGGCATCTGGTGGAAATTGTCAGTAGGGATATCATTGGCCGAGCTCGGAGGATGAACATACCGACGTTGATAGGAGACTGGTTCTTGCCAGCCTTGCAGGCTTCATTCTCAGGAGCAAGCGAGGCCCAGTTGAATGGACCGTTCATAGGCCCATAACCAAAGGTGTTTACCTCAACGGTCTCTGCGCCCTCTGCGCGCTTGAACTTGGACAGGCCGTGAAGGCATGTTGCGGATGCGGTCGAAGCAAGGAGGAGTGCGGAGAAGAGCATGATGAATGATAGACTGAGCTGAACTGTAAAGAGTGGAAAGATGCTGTAAAAGACACTGAAAGAATGTGAAGTGCTGCTGATGATGTTTCCAAACTTTTCCGAGGGCGAAGTCGCTCTTAAGCAAAAGACAAGATTGTATATGCCTCAGTACACAAGACTAACAAGAGCGAGTACGCGTGCGAAGTCTTGGTGTCGATGCTAACGATCAACGTGCAACACGAACGAAGGTGGAGTATAAAAGTAAGACAGGATCAACCCGGCCGATTACAAGATAGGTAAGGATAGGACAAGAGAAAAATAAGCCCGAAGACCCTGAGACTGGGCCAAAGAACGGTAGATACGAAAGGAAGGTGAACGGGTGAGAACGGACCGTTTAGAATAGAAGACAATGGAAGATTGGAAGTGCCGGCTTGAACGAGGGGAAAATGCTTGAGGTGGATCACCAAGCTCAAGTTATAGCTAACAATCACACGAGCATTGCATCTCAACGATTTCTTCCCGATGCCGTTCCGGTCCCTTGCCTGCCGAACAGCCATACCCCTCCGTGGAAATAGACACAGGCCAAGAGGACCAAGTCATACGTCAAGATGCCTCAGGAACGCCAGCGCTTGGCCATTGTATACAGAATACAAGATGAAGGAGCGGGGATATTCCCATACAGGTAGGTGCCAAGTTGAATTCGTGGTTAAGAAGGCGCCCAGATGCATACAGAGGGGCCACACAGGGGTCAAGAACTTGTGACATTTGCTTGGTATGCTGAGACGTGGAGCAATCCCTCGTGTCGGAAGCGAGACAGAGTCATGGTGTTCCCTTACGCTGACAGCGGACGGATGTGACGTGCTCTACCAACATCGGCGCCGTCACAAGTGTCCGCAGAGATTGGCGATCGTCATTGCGTGCTGATGGTGTTGTACAGATTTACAGAAGTCGCAGGATGTCTGAGTCGTTAGCAGACCGTTAGGAGGATGGGTATCCCTCCCAAGACTTACCATCATCTCGCAGCGCCAAGTCTGGGGAATCATTCGATTTTTACGAAATAACCAGGCGACGTTGTGGCCCAGCTTCGCCACAGCAGAATAATACCCTGGTCCTGAAACTCCACACAGGACCTCGATCCTATGAGAACTGTCTTGGCAGATCCAGGCCATGTGAACGAGGCTGCTTTGCGACGCGCGACAGGGATGCGCGTCCTATTGTATTTACCCCTAGCCTATACCTCCGAACCAAGAGCCGGATTCTCGCTGCTGCTATAGGCCTGAGTCTCGGACAGGACTCTGCCGTTCCCGTCGTATCTTCAAACCGATGGAGCGTTCGCCCACATGCTCTTCCCTTTGGTAGAATCAGTCCACTTGTGAAACTGGGGGATCGGTGTGAGAACGAAGGGTGAGCGGCTAGCTCATAATCAGGCAATTAGCAGAGGGCGCGAGTCTCCAGTGCGTTTCTGCGGTACGCCCGTACCTCAAGATAGACATCCGGATATCGTCGTGAGCGATATCTTGAGGGGCTTGGCAGGTGAAGTATAGCATACGCGGACGCCAAGCTGAGACGATGGCGTGTGTGGTGGTTAAAGCGATTACTGAAGGCTTGCGAAAGCAGGGACACAGGATACGCGGGATACGACAAGTAACCGCGGTAAGCACTTGTGGCGCAAGCTTGTAACAAGCCACATTGCGCACAATTATCCACCACCACGCTACCTCCCATCGCAATACAGCTACCCGTCAGACTTTCCCGACTACCAAGATCATCGATATGTAGTGAGCATCAAAAGGCAAAGATCGCCGCAGTTCACCCTACTCCACCGTTAGGACGTTAAACACAATACGGCCCGACTTGCAATCTCCGCATCCAAGCTCCTTCCCTGTAATTAGCTAGCTGTAACGATGGAGCCACAGGAGTCCCAGGACACAGTTGAGACTCAGCTTTCAACACCATGCCTAGCATCACGAAGCCAAGCTTGGCACTATACACGCCTCGTCGAGGTACAACATGACCTGACCATCGGTCTTATCGTCGGGAGTAGGCTGTTCGACTTGTTTCTTCGCAACACCTTGCCAAGTATATCCGCGTGTTTCTCTCCACCTCAAACCTTTGGCATTCGGTCTTATGCTTGCGAGGCGTTTTTCTCTTATGCGCGGTCTTGTTCGGCCTTGTATACATAGGCAGCGTGGTGTAGTTTCTTGTATACTTGGGTGCCCAGAGGTGTTGTGCGGAGGCGGAGTGTACTGTGACTTGGTCGCCAATGTTCCTGGGCTCATTCCCCATGTCCCGGAATAACTCTCCGCTCTTGGCGATCGGCCTTACGTGTGGCATGACGGGCTGATTGCACTCACGTCGAGATCTCGAGCTGACGAAGCCTTTGGCTGAAGAGCATTCTCTTTGGTGCACCAATTACACGTCAAGCATTACTGCTACCGGTGGTGGCATTACCGGTTGCGGAACTTAAATTCGCCTGGTCCTTCGTCGGACTTACCGTCCACGTGGGCACAACGGCGACAAGTGAGTGGTGACATACTATCGGATCCAGAATCAGCGCTTAGCATACGGTGAGTAGATCGGATTTCTGCTGTATCGTTGCTACAGACAGGGATCAGCTCGTAGAACTTGCTTAGTTCAGCAGAGTTTGACATCACGCGACACTGTGGAGCCTGTAGATATTGGAATATTATGCAGGCATTATGATTAAATCTTCCTTTCGTCTACTGTGCATGGTATCATCTAGCATGTCTAAAACGCTCATAACTCGTGTCCTCATCCTGTGACCGACTGGTACGGCCGAAGTATTCTTCGCCACCATCCCTTTCGTCCGCACTGACAAGTGGCTGGCGGCTACTCGTACCGTGCAGTACTGTGTCAGCATTGAACGGCGTGGCCGGAATATCAACATCGATGCCAACGTCTTCGAACCCTTCATCAGGACGCGGCGCCTTCTGGTAGCCTTTAGCGTATGAAGTCCCCTGTTCTAGCTCTTCCTTATCTCCTAGTCGTGTTCGACTCGACGCCCTAGTCGACGCCATTGATCCAGACGGTGAACCCCGTCGTGCATACGGACCCATCTCGGTGAGCGTAGTGAAAGTAGAGGGAGTGCCAGGCCTTGACATGTCTTCGGGTCGGCCGTACAGCTCCCCGTCGCCACCAAATTGTTCCCGGAACTCTGCACGCTTCTTGAAGTTCTCGAAGTCGAGCTCTGACTCGGTGACGACTTCCATGTGAGGGATTTCTGTCCCACCACTTACATGCTTGCCTGGCTGATGAGAATCCATTTCTGTCATAAAATAATCACCGAAGCGGTCATAGCCTGGCGTTGATGGCATAGCGCGATCGGTCGAACGCCGGTGAGGTGCATCGAAGATATCTCGATCAGCGTTTGACCGGTGGCCATATATCTCTTTCAGGAGATGCTGAGACTTTGCGTGTACCATTGGCGTAAGCAGCTTCTTGTATAGCGCGGGGTGGCCATAGCGAGACGAGACCTTGGTGCTCTTCTTCGATTTCGGGTGATCCACGGAATGGGAACCCTCTACATCGGAGTAGGGGAGCGTGGAGTAGTACAGCAGTTTATCGTCGAAAGCTCGCCTGCAGTACCACTTGAAGCCGAATAGCAGGAAGGGTAGCGGAACCATGGCATACAGCATGTTGCCGGTTCCTACTTGTATATTATCAAAATCGATCGATCCAACACCGTTTGCACCAACGACCAGCGCGATGACCGCATCTGCAAAGGCGACCGCGAATAGCATGCGATTTACTAGGAGCTTCCAGAATCTGCCGCCAGACTCGGTCTTCGTAATGAAAACATACTGAAGCAGGTACTTCTTGAAAACGCTATCCATGGCGATGTAGAAGGCTGTCACTGGGAAGATGATCGGTTGTAGTGTTCCCATGCAAAGACCTACAGTCGACACGAAGAGATAGTTGTTGTAGTAGTCGGCATATGGGAATGGTTGAGGCGCGCTGAGCTCAATAAGCTCTCTTGGAGTTGGCGAGAAGAAGGTACGTTGGAACCAGGACCACAAGAAAATCCAGGCTTGCGAGAGATCGATGGCAGCACCAAGGTTTCGCTGCATTTGCCAGGTAAGCCAGAAGGTAGACACATTACACAATCCGGTCATAACCTTGGTGAACAGATGACCATCCTGAATAGCTTCCCAGACGCCTTGATCCTGCGCTGCGACGACGGCAGCGACGAACCGCCACGCCGAACCGAATACAGAGAAGACGAGGAGGTTGTTGAACACGAAGAAGGAGTACAGACGAGCAGTGACATGGCGTTCCCTGGAGGTCTTCGAGACATCTCCGGAGTGTGTGAACAATCGACGGAACTGAGATTACGGATATCATGTCAGCTTATATCTCAGAGATTGCTTGTGAGGGGTTTACTGACCACCACAGGAACTCCCATGTACATTAGAGTTTGCACCAAGGGGGCCAAGATACCCTGTGCAATAGCCCAACCTGTCGGGTGGGCTTGAAGGTTCGTCATGAACGCTGGCCATACAAGCCCCAAGTGGGAGAAGTCTGACAAGAAGACGGATGTCAAGATGTTAGGAACAACGAAAGCAATGGTGAACAGCACTACCCATAGACCATCCCAGAAAGCACGTATTCTGCGAGTCCTTCGTGTCATCGGAAGGTTCTGCCAAAGGAGGTCATGGGGCTTGGGGGCGAGGTAGACGTCACAACCTGCAGGGCCCTTCTTCCTCGTCGCATACGCAACCGCATGAGCATCTTCGATGTGCGCGTAGGATGCAAATCCATAGGGCATGGGATTTCGCATGTCGACACCTTCTCGTACTTCCTTGATCGTTGTCTCCAACCTTGCGATTCGGTCCGTCAGGTAGTCGATCGCATCGAGTTTCCCTTTGCCATGCACAGCTTGATCGTCTTTCGTGGCTTTGCACGTAGGACGCTTGGCGGGCAGCTTGTTCGGGTTGCTCAGGTACTCCGCCAAGTGCTTCTCGAGTTGGCGGACAGCGTCATCATGCGCCTCAATAAGCTTTGGCAAATCCTTAACATTGCGACCGATCACTGTCCGGGGGATGGTATCGATTGACTTGGCTTGTTCGACAAGCTCGACAAGCCCGGCATCCGTTCGCGATGATTCGGGAACGTGTGTAAGCTTTTTGATGTTAGCTAAGTTTCTTGACTACAGTGACAAGACTTACCAGTAACGTTCGCGAGTGCAGGCTAGACTTGTATTCCTGAGTGTTGAAATACGCACGCCTAAGTTTTAGAATCGCTCTGTAATTCAACCAAAGGAAGAAACACACAACACCCTGGATCAGATACGCCACCACGACGTAAGCCCAGAATTTCCTTCCAAATATGTACTGCGGCGTAAACTTCATCAGGGTCGGTATCTCTTTCCACTGCTTATAAAGCGGCGAGCCTCCTACGACGTTGACAGGTATCAGAATGCCTACACCCACCACTGTCAACACCATGAAGATGTCCCGAATCATTCGAAGGAACCGTAGGAAGACGACCGCATCCAGACCGATAGTGTCCACTAATTCCTGCTCTTTCACATTTTTGACTGCATCCAACCAACTGAACGGCTTCTTGTCCAGTTGTTTCGGTCGGTGTTTCTCATCGGCATGTTTCGCTCGTGGTGCATAGACTCTCGAGTTGCGTGGTCGGAGAAAGCAGAATACAACGACTAGTAGCCCGGATATAACGAAGGAATATACAATAGCGGCGTAAATCGAGTTCTCTTGGATCTGAAATATGGGTAAGTATGATGTTCGCAAGGGTTCGACGCAACATGTGTTTGTACTTACTTCACCCTGGAACGGATCTGCAATCAGGTCGAGAAACTTATCAGTACCACTTTCGCCATTCTGTCGCCTCCCAACATCCATACTGGAAACCCCCCTCTTCAAGCGAATGTACTCAGTAGTTGATGTCCGAAAACGTTCCGGAAATGGCAGCGAATAGTAAAAATGACGTTGTGTGGTTGGATAACAGAGTAAAAAAGAATAACTAAGAAAACAAAGTGATTATGAGAGAAGCTTAGATTTACGCCGATTAACGAGGTACGCGTAACGATCCCCCGGACTTCTTTGTTGGGACGATGTCACAGTACTAGAATGCTCTTTCCGCGCATCGCCGCCGAGCGACGTCATTCCCGCCGCTTAGTGTGGGTCAAACGCTCGCTGAAAGAACATTTCGCGTCGAAGCTTTGAACAAATCGGCATCATGGTGTGAAGCGGAATACGATCTGGACCATCATTCCAGGCCTAAAAATAGTGTATCGTGGGGTCAGGTTGCACGCGTCCAGACCTTGGGACCGAAAATTCTGGTGCACTATCTCGTGGACAGCCTGTGGGACTTGGCAGGGTCCCTGATGTACTCCAGAGTAGCAATAATTTCATGTGCCTGCACCGCCAATCATCAGCTGCATCAGTACAAACCGTTCGACGATCAGCTCGCGAAAATCAGGAGGGTCGTGTCTCAAAAGAGGACAACATAGCTCAACATAGCGAGGCTTACTGTGACGTCATGGTCATCGGCCAACCTGCGGGAACCTGGAGTACGAGGTAGCACGTTTATTCAGAACACCGTGTCAGGCCGACTACAATGTAGCGCTAACATCCGGAGAAAACGGGCTTCTTCGCAGTAGCAGAGCACCGCGGACAATACGATACGACAGGTCCATCGACAAGTCACTCGGACAGGCATAGCGTTTGATCATCTATGAATCATGTCTGAATCACAGACGTCTTTATCATCACTTTTCCAATGAGCGATCTGAAGGCATATGAGCCGAATATCACGTATACTTTCAAATGTAACCCATAAAGCTCGCTACATGCTCAGTCCAAACCAACTCTTAATGCCATTCCACCCACGCCCATGGTAGCTCTCTCCAACATGCTGTATCATCAAACCGGCCATCGCGCACCTTAGCAGTGCGCGGGTGTCCACCCCGTAGGGAAAAGAATCTATGGATATCACGAAACGAAAAAAAGAAGAGAGGGGTATGCAAAGAGTGAGAAAAGATTGCAGAGAGGTGACTACTCAACCTCATGCCTTCTCCTTCTTCTTTTCCTTTTCCTTCTTGTCGTGATGGTGGTGATGCTTCTCTGATTTTGCATCCTTCTTAGCTGCGGCTTCGGCCATGAGTTGTTCGAATGCCATGAAGTCGCCTTCTTCTTCGGGATCGCGCTCGGCCTACATCTAGTTAGCATCCATATCATCCACGCGTAAGACAAAGAGCGTACCTTTTGGAACATCTCGCCGATAATCATCAGCGCGTGTGCTCGTTCCACTCGCTTCTCCAGCTTGATCTTCTTATCGTTGAGAACGGAGTCGCATACATCCCTAAGTACGCTCTGAATCTCGAATTTGCTGCCTCTCCAGGCCGCAGCGAGAATCTTGCCAGTAACACGCTTCTCATATTCAGCCTTCTTCTCGTCTGTCCAGGCTTCTCCGCCCTGTTCCTCTAGCTTGGCCATTTCCTCCATAGTAAGCTGCGCGTCTATCGCTGCAGACATGGTGGACCAGGTGTCCTTGACGAGCGTGCCCTTATCCTTGATACGGGAGAAGAAGCCTGAGATACCGAGGAACTTCTGCGACTTGAGGAATGAAGAGGCCTTCATGATGTACGTGGCACCGATGGCGTGGAGGATCTCAAGACCGAAAGATTCCATCTTGAGGTTCTCGATCTCCAGATGAATCTTCTCCTTGAAGGCTGCGGTAACATCGGTCGCCTTGTCGGTTTCAGTCCACACCGAGATACGATCGATGAGCTTCTTGGCGAGGTTGGCAACACGTTCGTCACGGATCTTCTTGCGTTCCATCTCGTATGCCGCGAGCTCTTCCCGCTGCTCCTTGGTGAGACCGGCCTTCTTCTTCTGCTTCTCACGTAGCTCTTTCTCCGCATCGGTCATGCCCTCCGCCTCCATACGTGCCTGTTCCTCCGATTTGTCCATGATGGCTGCGCGGATTGGTATGCCTCGTGATTGCGGCGTGCTCGTTCGGGACGGGGGCGATGCTGCTCTCGGTGCAGTAGACGATTCGGCAGTGTTCTCAGCATATGCTGGGGGCGCCTCAGCGTACACAGGTGGTGGTGCATCTGCTGCGTGTGCTCCTGCGCGCTCCGCTGCTGCTTCAGCTTCCTTGGCCTGAGCAGCAGCACTTGGGGCTGTGGTCTCTGTGGTACCGGCAGCCGGGGTAGCGCCAGCTGTGGCAGTCGCAGGAGTCTTTTCGGCCTCGACCTTTTCGGCTTCTGCTTGGGCGGCGGCTTCTTCCTCCATCTCACGCTGGGAGATCTCCATGGTCTTGGTCAGGTCCTTCATCAACGAGATCTCGCCGATCCTATGAGTGTCAGCGTCTCTCTTCTGCATACAGACATTGCTGTAATGAGCCATGGTGTTGTCCTACCAGTCCACGAAAGCCTCTCCACCAAAGATCATGGTGAAGAACTCGGATGGATCCTCTGTGCCTCTGTTAGCGTTCTGCAACCATTACTACACCACGTGTATATCCATACCAAATCCGCTGCTAGGCATCGCACCCTCCTTGCCATATTTGTCGTATGCTGCTCGCAGCTGGTCGTCGCTGAGTATTTGGTACGCCTCGCCAATCTGTCACCCCGTCAGCCCCGCAATCCTGGTGGAGTATCGAACAGGATCGCCATATCCTCTACTCATGAGTAAATCAACGTACTTCTTGGAACTTCGCGTGTGCTGTCTCATCGCCAGGGTTCTTGTCTGCGTCGGAATTAGTCCTTGAGGCTTTGGAGAAAGTCGTTGCGCAATATACCGGGGTGCAGTTTGATAGCGAGCTTGCGGTACGCCTTCTTGATTTCGAGCTCCGTCGCGGTGGGCGGTACGCCGAGGGCGTCGTAGTATGCGGTTTCCACGACCATGGTTGCGAATATCTAGGACTTGGGGTGAGTGGTGGGAGCGATCAAGAGTATATGCGTTGGGCGCGCGTCGGCAGGCTACACATGCCTGTGAAAATGCTGCACCGCCACAGCCGACGTCACCACGCTAAAAACATCCGAATACCCTTGACAGTCCATCCATCACACGTGGGTGAACCATACTCGGCAGGTGAATGTTACAAGTCGTTCACAAGATGCGAAAGAGAATTTACGGGGTTGTCAAATTCATATACTCTTATTCATAGATATGCTAGATAAGAGAGCTGGTCTATACAAGCTCAGAACCCCACCCGTTCGAGGTATACCCGCCATGGCCATATGATTCATTTGAAGAACCCAATATCACCCTTCGCCGCCCCATGCAGACGCCATGCTAGAATTTCAGTCCGTGTATCATGAACCGTTAAGTGGGATACTTTTAGACCAAACTGGAGACAAATCGAGAAAATGCAGTCGAGGGTGGAGTGCGCCGTGTGTCCGAGGACGACGGAGGATGTTGCAAAAAGCAAGCATGGTGTTGCAGACTCGGAAGTGTGCCGGAGCTTTTTAGACGCTGAACTTGGCCTTTGCACGGGTGCTACCGGCGTTGGCAGCATCAGTGTGACCAGAGAACTCGACGGCCTCGTTTTCCTTGAGCTGAAGCGCCTGCTTGAACCGCTTGCCAATCTTCAACAAAACCTCCTTGCCCTTCTCCTGGGTCCTGCCCTTTCCGCCTTCGCCGGGGATAGCGCGGCCGACTGTGCGGGTCCACAGACCGATACGGTAGAAGCCTCGCCTAACGTTGACGACGACACCCATGACCTCATTGTCGTCCTCGTCCTCGAGGTTCTCTCCGATGGCAGCGAGCATAACATGGAGCCAGAGCGCATCGATGTTGATGACCTTCTTGTCCTTGAACTGGAAGGCCCATTTGCCTCCGTGCTTGTTCTGCGCGTCTTCCCACTCGGGTCGTACGCCCTTCTTGAAGAGATGGTAGTCGGACTTGAGCGCAAGGTCGGATGTGGGGGTGATGTTGTTCTGTGTGCGATGTCAGCTTTGCCCGTTGTTGCTGATATTGGAACATGACTTACGTAGATACCCCAGAACTCCTCGACTGAGTCAAATGAGATGACCTCCTTCAGCAGTTCGGCCCAGTTGTCGCCCTGCAGTTGTTAGCATGGAACAATCGACGCCCAAGACGGAGCAATGTCGTACCTTGCCGCTCGGGGGCTTGGTGAACCAGAGCGTCCATGTGTTCATGAGCGGGTGCTTGACGTTGAAGTTCTCGGGGTCGTGGAAGACGGTGCGGATCTCGCCCTCGCCTCCGGCGTTGTTGGTGGAAGACTGTTCCTCGCCCTCGGCGGAGTTCTCAGTTGGCGAGATGGGGATCGTGTCCAGCGGAACCTGCTGGTTGGGCTGCGGTGCTGATGCGACTTCGGCCATTGTCGATGTGCTTGTGGGGTGTTGTGGGGGTGGATATGGAGGTTGCCTTTGGTAAAAGAGGGACTACAAGCGATGGTTGCAGTCGTGTGGTAATTTGGCGGTTGGTGGTGGGCGGAATCAGGTGAAGGCGGGGCTTGTCGCAATCGCACCAGGCGATTATACGGGAGGAGTCGCGGGGTTGCGCTGCCTTTCTTGCGTCGGATAAGAGAAAGGACAAGTGAGAGGTGACTGTTTGCGGCGGGCGTGTCTGTCGGGGAAGAATATGCGTGCAGTCGCAAGGCAATTCGTGGGACCCTTTAGGCTTACTTGGCACGTACCTCGCGCTAGGTCCCGTTTCAAACTGTAACACGGAGAGCATAAAGAAGCAACCGGTTGATGTCATGGCAAAACTAACTTTACAACTAGCTACTTTTTTTCGTGTCCACGTTACTGCTGTCAAGGGAGCTCATGATAAACTTCCTCTTAAACAGCCTCGTCGCCGAGCAAAACGCGTTTCAATATAAGCACATCTACGGCCCAACCTCAGCTATGAAAGAGCAGAGTTGGAATTTGACATCCGTGCTACAAACATCACGCTCACATTGTAATCGTGCCGCAGCATGGCGCGAAAAGTATACATTAGTAATTGTTATATGCCCAGTTTCCCAAATGGCTGAATGTCGCCTGCATAATACATGTAAACGTGAGACGCTCATAGCTCGCTCTTGTTCAGAGTCTCGTGGACCTCTGTAACCACCTCGGGTGTCTTGTCGAGTCCCATCACTCCCATCAGCTTGCCAAACTCCAGCTTAAATTGAGTGTAGGCAATGTCGAAGCGCGCACCCGCGAGCCAGGCGACAAAGAGCTAAATTTTGTTAGAGGTCGTTGGAAGTAACGTAGTTGCGATACATACCATGATGAATGTGATGACCAGAACTGTACCAACAACGGCGGCGACAATGTAGACCAAGTCCCAGTTGGCCTCGGAGTCCTCTTTCCGTTTCCGCTCCGCCTCCTCGATGGTGGCAGGTGCCTTCTTGTCGACTGGTGGTTGTTGCGTCGGGAATATTGACTCGATGAATTGCTCAATCTAACATGATTAGCAACAGCGGCTTCAACAGGATCTATATGACTCACTCTTCCGAGGGTGATGCTGATCTTGAGGAAGTTGGGGTCGTGGGGGTTGTTCTTCTTCGCGATCTTGCGAGCGTATCTCCTGAAGACTTCGCAGACGAGCTGCAGATTTTGTGTCGACTCAACCATCAGTTGGCATGCCTCACCCTTGGTGATCTTGACGTTCTTCTGGAAGAGAGCATAGTTCTGGAAGCATGTCTCGAGCGTCGCAATGGCCATAGTTTGCGGGATAGCGCAGAAGTTGAACACACTCTGCTCTCGGAGACCTGCGAGATAGTACAAGCAGTCGTCTGCTCGGGTCAGCGCAGTTAGAATCATCTCTGAGCTGCAGTTTAGGGCCTTCTGCTTGTTCTCGGGCTTGAAGAGGTCTTCAAACTCATTAACGTGCTTTGACCAGATCTCCTTAGGCCAGAATCGCCGTCCATCATCAATATCCTCCTTGATGTCACGGGTGATGTTGACTTGTTGGAGGAACTGGCCCATGGATTCCATCAGCTCTGGCCTCTTCAGCAGCGCAGCGTTTGCTAAGCCAGCCTCAACAAACAGACGTGTGCAACCCTCGCCTACCAGACCGGCGACGTAATGGCAGTACAACTCGTATTCCTTGATGGTCTTGACGCCAGCGTTGAACTCGGCGTTGTTCGCGTAGTCTGCCATGCCGTTGCCCATGCGCTTGGTAATGTCCTTGATGATATCCTGGTAGACAGGCTTGATCTTCTTGAACTCCTCAATGACCACGTTGAACTCGACCAGAAGTTGCCTGTCCTTCTCGTTCGGGCCGTTCTCTGTGAAGTTCCATCCATCCTTGTCCAAAATGTCCTGGAAGTTGCGCAGTAAAGGCTCCTTCTTCTCCAGGGGTATCGTCATGTCATCCTCGATGGTGTCCAAACCGCGCAGGACTAGGTAGAACAGCGTGACGGGCACCAGAAGCTCGGGGTGCAGCTCGAGGATGACGGCAGCGAAACTTCGGCTGGTCTTGTTGAGGAAGTGGAAGCATCGTTTCAGGGACTCGCATTCTTTCGATTCGTCGCGCTCGTGTACTGCGTTATGCCACACTTTCCTAGCCAAGCATTAGCCGTGTTCCGGTTTGCGCAAACTCTGGCTGCACGCGATGGCGCCTTTACCTACCATTGAATGATTGACCGCAGTTCGTTGGGGTGAACCACGTAGTAGAGCATGCTCAGAGGGCTAGGCATGATGGGCCAAGTTAAAGGAGTCTTGGATGGAGGAGGTATTAACAGATCGCTTGACACCGGTAGTATAATGGCAGGACGCGGACCAATTCGGCGACAGAAGACAGGATTGAGAAAACAGCGAGTACCACGACTTCTCTGGCAGGTTGAACTGTCTCTTGGGCGCGAGAAGTGTGAGGTCTAGGAGCGTCTCCGCAAATTGCAACAATTGGACCCTGTAGCGCACGGCCTTAGCAACCCGCGTTTCTGCACCTCCCCCTCGGATCAGGGATGAGAAACACCGAAAACACCGAAACTCGCATCTTCGTTCCTGAGTACTGCACGACCTTGTTGCGATTGGTGCGAAATACGACGGTAAAAAATAGTTACTGTCGTATTGCAGCCAGCTCTTTGCGCCTGAACACTAAGCTGATCACTTCATAGAGCCAAGCAAATGTGTATCCGCACTGGTGCCTACACTGCAGTTCCCATGAGAAAACTGCTGTTCGGCAGACCGTTGTGTCCTTCACGCTTAGTTCTAGGGACACGAGTGGTCAAACAGTGTGTACGTGAGGTGACAGACTGATCAACTCCACTGCTATTGGTAATTCAATTCCAAACATGCTTCAAGTACATCTCCTTGGAATAACTGCCCCCCTCTTACGTATCAGTCAAACTCTCTGGGTATACCAGCATCCCTTTCAATTCCTAAAATGTGTATTGATGAGTTGTCTCTGCAAAGGTACTCGTTGCACACGACAGGCATTGGACAGCTTGTTGATGTGGCTATCTTCGCTCTGCCCAAGATCCGGTTTGTCTGCGCCACAGCACAACAAACATCATAGCCAAACCTTCCCCATTCGACAAATATAGAGGCTCGAAATTCCCGTGCGATTCAAATTGACCTCTAAAATCAAAACCTTCGGGCAGTGAAGCAGTGACGGACACTGTCAATAATTACGCCACGCGATGACGCCACGGGCAGATTATCGATAAGCGACCCTTCATGCTTTCCTCAAACTCATTCGGAAATGGCAAGAACAACCCAGCATATACACACCTCAAACTCAAATTATGGCATCGACACAAACTGCTCCAGTCGCTCTACCGCGCGTCGCAATAACGTATTGCACGCAATGTAAGTGGATGTTGCGAGCAGCCTATGTACCTTTCTCCACATCCTCCGCTAATACGACGTCCACTAACAAGTGACCAGTTCGGCCAAGAACTCTTATCAACATTCGGACTGCAAATTGGAGAGATAGCACTGATACCTGCGACGGGTGGTCTCTTCACAGTTGAGTTGGTATGTTTGAACGAATGCTTGCATTAAACCATGCTAAGTTTGATAGACGTACTTGCCGCCATCTGAGGAAGGCCAAAAGGCAGAGGCAAAGAAAGTGCTCCTTTGGGATAGAAAGGCTAAAGGAGGTTTTCCAGGTTCGTAACCTAGGGACATGAGAGTGGCAAGATGAGTGGCTTACATGTCGCAGAGACGAAAGTACTAAAGCAACTAGTACGAGATCACATAGACCCTAATCGGGATCTGGGGCATTCGGACAAACATGGCAAGAAGAATGAAAACAAGGCAGAAGATGAGAAGCAGAACTTGGAGGGAAAGCAAGAACAGGGTCAGACAAACGAGGGTGCAGAAGTCAAGAGAAATCCAGATGGAACTGTTTGCGAGGACTGTAAATAAATTTGAGCCCAAGTATATCATTTGCTTTGCAACAGATTCAATACCGTACGACCTTTCGTCCGCTCATTACCCTTCAATGGCAATGCGGAAGAAGTCCACACCCTTGAGATACGTGAGCGCCCAGCTGTTCATCATGTCGAGATTATGCGCTCCTGGAATAGCCAAGCGCAGTATAGCTCTTTGCTCCCATCCGAGAGTCTTGGTCTGGCAGCAGTTTTGGATTATACTACCATGAGCTAGAATCGGAATCACTCATATCTTCCTACGAATCATGACGGTCGACCTTATCGAGACGCTTCATGAGGCGAATGTCCATGCGATGGATGTTCTTGCGCATAGCCGCCAGCTCGCTACGCAGTCGTTGAATCTGGCGATCGGCTTCTGCAGAGATCTTCTGGATACTGCTAGGAGCTTCGCAGTCGGATTTTGGCATTGACGAATAATAGGTACCTTCTGCGTTAGGAACACCAAGTGCTTCAACTAGGTTGTCAATTCGGAGACCATGTGATTCAGAGGCGGCTTCGAGTTCCTTGTAACGCTGATCCAAATCCTCAAGCTTGATGGAATAGATCTCGCCTGTAAGGTTGGTCACAGCTTGGGCACGCTGGACGAGGGTAATGACTTGAGAGTACGTGCCGAAAGGGTTGGTCTGCAATGCCAGGTCAAAACTGCTAGTGCTGTAAAACTGCACCGCCGCGATACTGACAGCAGCACCCATAACTGTTTTAAGAACGACCTCGGTCACACTCCGCAACCAGCTCTTGCGTGGGGTACTCTCTGCAATCAGGTCCTTGATGATTGAGATATCAAGGTTCTGAGAGGATTCCTCGACGTGTAGTGAGCTCCGAAGCAGGTCCAGCGCTACATAGACTCCATCAGTTGCTTTCGCGCAAGTTTTGAGAAGCTTCTTGAGCTCTTTTGTGATGAGAGCCTTGGCTTTGTCTTTACCCTCGGCGCTGAGATCAGACTCCTCAACCTCGTCGATACAGCTGGTAACCTTATCTCCCATCACGCCCATACAGAACACAGCCATCTGACTGACCGCTAGGGAGATCTGGGTGGCCCTGCTGAGCAATATCCTAGCGTTGGCAACGGGTAAACGATGAGCTTCCTCAAACTCGATGGCCTTATCGTGGAGGTCAAGGAGCGCAACGTTGACCGAGCTATAGCCACCAAATGTAGCCCACATGTAGAGCGGCTTCTTGCTATCATTCTGAACCTTGATGTATTCATAAAGCTGAAACATAGCCTTTTCGATGTCGCTCATAGAGTCGAGAACCTCATCCGCGCAGTTCCGCTGAGCCTGGTATTGCGTTAATCAAACACCAGGACACGGGTCAACCCGTACTTACTTTGACTGCTGAAGTGGACTCCTTCGCTTTCCCATTGGCACAGTCAACCCTTTTTTTGTGCGTCGCAATCGCGCCATTGACCATGTCGCTGTTTTCAGGACTCTTTTCAGGTGTGTCGTTCTCGACATCAGCGGCCTTGATCTCTTCCTCGGTAGCTTCACTTGCCTTCTTTTCGGCTTCTACTTGAAGACGGAGCTTCTCCTGGAACCGCTTGACGAACTCAGCCTTCTTGGCTTCGCCATCAGCATTCGTAGCGTCGGTGGCGTTGGGCGCGCGCGGCGGAGTTGGTGTAGCAGCAATAGCGCCGTCGCCTCCGGATGCATCTTTCTTTGTTTGCTCGTCATCATTTGCCGTTTGCGTGTTGGGATGCTGCCACAAGCTATCGCTTGTATCGTCCCTGTCGGTGATTTGGGCTATGCTCGCCTCGCTGTCGATGCTCATGTTTGTGGTGATGATGGATCCGATGTTAATAGTGGAAGTTGACTTGTTGAGATCAATATGGAGTAGTGATTGTCACAGCCTGGGGTATTACAATGTTGATAAGCTCGAGGTGCGCGCAGACCGATTGGGGAGGAGTGAAGTCGAGATGAGCGTGATTTGCGCTTAGTGTTGATTGGTCAAATTTGCGCAACACACTAGCGCAATTTCCTCTTTGAGCAGTATGAAGGGAAAGCATACATTCTGGAAGGCAACCGAGGTTGCGCAGATGATTCTGAGGTTGGAAGTCATCAAATAACATGACGTAGGTCACAGGAAGGACGTTCGAGAGGACAATTGAAAACGGTAACAGGAAGTGGTGGCTTGCCTGAGGCAGACAAAGAGAGTGGTGGGAATGGCATTAAAACGATAACAAACCGTGAGGAAGTCCACGGTTCAGACACAGACACGAAAAGCCGAAAAGTATCGCGACCGCCGAGCTTGCGCCCCTTCAAGCCTTTCTTATCGTCATATGAAAGAAGACGAATGCCTTGGAGGCGCCGTGAATGTTAAGAAGCTCCGTAATGCTGCAGCAGTTAGTGTTGGTGGATGATCGATTGCCTATTCTCAGGACATGAACAATGCAACGACCTCTAGTCCGAGATAATCAACTCAGAACGCTGTCATGGAGAATTTGTGGTCCCCCACTCACAACAGGCCAGTGTGGTGCGGCATGTTCCACCAAGAACGCGTCGCGTCCTCGGACGCGGTATGCTTACATGTGGAGACCGGAAGGACGCGCGGATACGGTCATGTATGCAACCCAGGGCCACCTGCATCCCCTGTCTGGTGTTACTGTCATCGATTATTTGGTCGTCAGTCTATGGCTCGACACCGGAGAATTGGCTGGATGCATATGCGACGTGGGCTGCTTGTTTGCCTTGCCTGAATCCTGCATACCTAAATCAGACCCTTCTCTAGCTACAAAAACACTGCGAGACGTCAATCGGTAGGTGTAATGTTCTTGAATCTCGAGATATACTCTCTAAAGATATTAGAGTGGTAGCGCGCCTTGTACGGCATTGTATGGCGTCAAAACTGTGGTAGAGGCCCGGGTGTCGTTGCTGCATGCTGTGCGTTCGGGACGGCGTAAAGGTGTCAACCAACGCGTGCTTGCAGTAGTTTGAAGCTTGGAATTCAGATACTGTATCTTGAGGTGGCACCATAATCAGCGTGACGGGCCAATATCATCAGGACGCCAGCATACGCCGATGCCGTGTTCTAGGTACTCTGTTTCGCAATCAGCGACAGATGATCCAGAGTTTGATTGTCTACTGCAAAGTGCAAGATATTTGTTGCATAGCAAGAAGAGCATGTAGACCCTTGACGGGCAGTGGAAAGTAGTGTATAAGGTTTAGCGGTTTGGGGAACGCAAGCATACGTCGACCTCGGGCTGCTTGGGCACCTGTAGAACGACGAGGAATGAGATATCGCGGCAGATCGATAGGCGAGCATGAACAGAGGGCTTGTGGGCCGAGTTTTGGTGATGTATGGACGTACAGTATGATGCCAGCGCAATGAGGAGAGCCGAGCACCCTTGGCCGGCGATCATGGCGGCCGCCACGGCGTCCCCACCCAACCTCTCGAGAGAGTCGTGTTATTCGTTGGTTTTTGCACGATAGCATGAACCACACCCTCGTACATGTCGAACGCGATATCTGATCCCCACACCCTCCGACATTACGCATTCATGTTGGTAGATCCCTGTGACGAGTCGGTCGGCGATGGGTGAGCTGTCTTTGCTATGCTCAGAGCGACGCCACCCCTCAGCTGGCGAGATCGCCAAAAAAAAGCCCGGAGACGCCCAATGCCGTGCCACTTACCCTGCAATCTTGCCAAATTCTTAGAGTAGCTATTTCCCCGCATGCGCTTTGCCGTACTGAGGCTTGTGAGCTTTAGGCTGGGATGTATCTCAGCTCTAAGCGTTGGCAACTTGCGGCTGAGCACTGAATGCAAATTCTTAGGTCTCGAACACAACTCATCACCATGATGGTACGATCTGGATCGTAGAACGAATCCCCGACAGCTACATATTTGGCGCTATGGAAGTAGCCCGCGCAAGCCACTGACTGCCGATCCCTTATCTGGGAAAGATCGTCTCACCAATTCGTTCTACCGGATCCGCCAGACGTAGCCTCACCAACCAAAAGACGCCATCATGGACCGAACTGCGTCGCGTCTTAGCTGTCGAGATAGGTGAAGGCGCAACAAGGGTCTGTCGACGTACATACAATAGTTGCTTTGTCCCACGTCCCACCGCGACAGACTTCTGCTTAGTTTTGATTTCAACACGGCAGACCAGGAATCCCTGCCCGTGCTCCATGAGCTTCTCATTCTGTGGTACTCATGCACACTCTTATTTAGATCAGCATGGCTTCGGAAGACAACCCGTCTTGTCAGACTAGCTCTGTGGAGGAGCCTCATCAACAACTGATTCCCACGCGCATTTCGTTCACTTCTTGTAACCTTCGTATGGATGACCCTAGGACCTTGAATCAAGTAGTCTCCGCGGCACCGACAAGCGGATCTACACTACCTCACCACACCAGCCTACCTACAACTCGACGTCATACCTTAACGATTGGCGATCGCGTTGCCTCTACATTACTGGAGACCAACAACCACACGAGACGTCTTAAGACCATCGAAACGCGACCAAGGTCGGCCACTTGCCTTGCGACAACATCCAAGCCGATGCATCCTACCAAAGTACAACGATGGGTCGGCTTGACCCGTACTGTGAGCGACTGGGATCATGGACTACGCAGAGTATGTTTGAGCACTTCGTCATTGAAGCTAGGCTAACAGCAAGAAAGGACCCTGAGTTGTGGTATGAAGGAGGAGATTGTTTCGTCCACCTACACGCAAAAGGGGCCTCGCGTCGTGGGCCGTCCTTTTGCGTTCCCTTCAGACTGTTACGGCAGAAGAAGTGTGACGCCATGTTGAATTTATGCGACGCCCAAATCGCACCTGCGCCAGGATCTGCCTCCCAGCGATTGAGGCGAATGCCCAGCTCCCTCAACAACACCAATCGGGAATCAAACGTCGTCGAGCTTTTCATCCCTGCTTCAGAAGATTCATCCCAGGACTCTTTCAGGCAGCACATTACAACTCGCAACTTCTTTGCGTTCCTGCTAGGTAAACCACTGGTCGGCGATCATATGGGCCAAGCATTTGTAGACCTCCAAGAACGGTTGCAGCACTTCCGACCAAGCCATGCGAACAACCATCAAGACTTTCTCGACTACGCAGAAAACCAAGGGTACCGAGATCTGGTAGAGTGCACAGACTATGCCCTTGCAAGTCTCTTCTATGCAGAACACTATAAGCTTAGAGATACCTGGGTTGATGCTTTCGCCCACTGTGTTGGTATGAGTGAAAGCCTTGTCCTCAGCCCGGAATATGTGGTATGTATTCTATCATCTGATCGAGGATAACTTTCTAACACATTCTTATAGCTGACTTCGAAGCTCACGAAAGCACTGATTACCCGAGCTCATCTCGAAGTCGATGGGCACCTCGGCCGCGTATCGATCGCACTAAGCAGGTTCTTGCAAGAGGACCTCTCCCCAACTTATCTTGGGCTGACAGATGGCGCCAGAAGCCACCTTGATCGCTTTCGCCGTTTCTTACATACCTTTTACGTCGGAAAGTTTGGATATTGGCCACCACCACGGGGCGCTACCTTTCCTAAAGCGCTTTACAAGTCAATGTATTACGATTTTCAGAATCTCTACGACTACCTCGTAGACACCGAGTCGACCGCCGATTTTTCATCTCAAAGACCTGCTAGCGGCGGCATCTGCGTCTTACAGAACGTTATGACCTTCGACCAACGACATGGATTCAAGTCCCAGCCCCATCCTTTACCTCTCCTACCAGTATATGCATCGTCGCCGAAGAGAACAAACTCTCAGAAAACGAACTCGCAGAAAGCTTTGAGGCAGCTCATCCTGGCATCGCAACACAACAAGTCACATCTACAAGATACCATGCATGGTGCTTTGGCAGCGGCAACCAATACCTTGGATTCGAGCGCGATGGAATCGAGCATTGTACAGGCCTATATCCATTTCGAGAAGGCACACGCTATCAATGCTAGTCAACGTGAGGGGAAGATATCATCGACAGATGCGCGTAAAGTAAGATGGCTTGTAATCTACGGGACACTGCAATATCTGGTGTCCGCTCTTCGCGCACCGAAAGAGGTTCGCGATTCGGAAAGCCCAGAATACGCTCTGTGTTACGTCGCGGAGCCCATCGCTTCGACTACCAACAGCGGTGCTACGACCCCTTTGGCCACACCCTCGGTCAATGTACCGTTGGCCATCGACGACTATCTTGCGGAATCTCAAAGCAGCCCCTACTCGATAGAGCCCGACTGCCAAAGGGAGGATTACTTCACGCCGCGAAATCTAAGTCGGCGTGGATCCATGGAAGTCGCACCACTTAAGATATCTCAACCCCTTCGCTCGTCTTCGGTTCGCTCGTTCGCACGGCGATCATTATCAGCTCGAGGTTCGCGAAGGAATAGTCTCTCGACACCCATACGAAGATCTGTTGGCATGAATCAAGAATTTGGAGATCGATCGAAAGACACAGCGTCAGTCTCGCAAGCTAGTTCTCGTCAGGTGTCGTCCACTTACTCGGAATCTGTTTACTCAGAGCACTCGACGACACCCACAGCCGACAGTAGAGCTAATCCCGAAACCTCATGGCTCAGATCGCCGTCGCCTTCTGCTTCCCGTAGCAGGCAGACCTCTACAGGTAGCACGGCCACACGCCCCCGTACGCCCCTACTTGATTCCGTACAGCTTGAGCGTGCTACGTTTCCAACTTTCTCAAAAGCCACTGGGGAGCCACCCAGCCGATCAGATAGTACAAGCTCTACAGCAAGCTCACTGTGGAGTGAAGGTGCCGCAAGTGCCGCCTCGTCTAAGTCGAGTACATCGGGAGAAGGCCCCGTTCATAAGGTTAGCCCCGCAGAAGAGAGTGGGCTTCTAGGCGGGCTTGTGTCTTTTGAGACACCCAGAGCCACGGCACCAACCCTGCCACAAAGCGAAATACACCCCCTACTACGACAACAATCTCCACAAACCGACTTTGAGTTTGGCTTCGGAAAAGCAGAGCCAGAAATCACTTACGATGTCCATGAACATTCTAATGGCAATATGATGATTGGCATGGCTGTTTCTACTCCATCAGTGCCGGCCAGAAGATCTAGCTTGAAGCTTTTCCCAGATACAAAGCATGCTGTCGCCACTGAACAGGCACGTTCTCTCATTGCTGAGAGGAGGCCTTCTCTTCCTCGAAGCATTTCTACTCCATCCACCCTAGGCACTTCGTCTAAGCAAGGCTCAGCAACTCCATCGTCTACAACCACGACTCCAAGTGGCTACTGGGAACAGTACAAAGCCACTCTCACACAACAAAGAGCGCGATCAAAGACCGTGTCTTCCAGCGGATCTACTCCATCTTCTATTGTTAAGATGCCTACAGTACTCAAGGCATCCTTTGCGCGCATTGGTCCTCGTAACAACGAAGATCGCGGCGTTAAGAGAGAGCGCAGGCTTTCTACTCTATGGCGACACTGATCGTCGGATAATAGCCACTCTGTACTGTTTTCTGGTTTTCCTTTTATCTTTCTGCTACAGCGATTCTCATGCATGGTGTTCCGGCGTACAAAACAAGCATGTTATATACCCTTTCAAGCGTTCAGGTATCCACCTCTCATTTTAGGAGTATAGTAGTTATATCACGACTGAACGATACAATCTTCCTCAACATCTTCCACATGATCTTTCGCATATACACGTTTTCGCCATGCCGACTTCCTCACTAGGTTCCTTTCCCCGCTCTCCAATCGTGCAACAGTCTTTCCGCAACAGCTAGCGCTGTCGCAGAAACATATCCGAACTAACCACTCTACACTATTAGCCTGGACAACGACGTCCCCTATGTCGACACTGTCGAGCTCGATGCTGCTCAAAGTAATACTGGAGTCAACAGGGCTAGCGCAGATAGATCCCTCAATCTCGTAGAGAAAGTCTTCCGTGAGGCTGTTGAAAGAAGTCGATGACTCCTGCGAGGAAGGAGCGTTATCATCGTATACGAAATTACGATCACCAGTGATTGCTCCGGTGCTACTTTTCGAAGCTCGCTGTATTGCAGCCTTATCGGGCAATGCACTTGTACTGGCGTTCATGTCTCCTGGTGAGCTCTCTTCCAGTTGCGCAATAGCGGTGCAAATTGTGCGGTAGCGATTGCAAACGGCTATACTAGACTGCGTCCCTGCAAAGTGCGAATTTGTACTTGGGACACACCTGACATCTTCACAGCTGCACAAAGTCCCATCCCTTCCAACAATCACGTTGATAGAAGTGCTGTGCAAGACACTCCATTCTAGAACGGCGGTAACGGGTGCCAACAAAGCAATGGAACATTCCACGCGTATGTTTCCACATGCTCGGTGGCTTTCCCATGGGCATTGACACCGAAGATTCGAGTCTTGCAGAGGACCCAATGACATCATGCCGATTTTCCACTAGGGGCCCGCAAGCTTGTCGCACTATCGAAAGCCTCAACAAACATGCGCTCCACAGACACCACCTAATGCGAAACACATGAGGTGTTTCTTTCGCGGACATGCATATCGTCGCTAGGCGCAACGCGTTTGCTGCTATTTTTGGCCAGGCCTATCCGCTCGCGCCTTGCAAGATCCGATCCATCCTGTTTGCGAGTGCGAATGCACACAGCTGACCTGCCCGTTGGTCGGGACGCACGTTCACGTTACATCGACTGCTACGCTACATCACAGTCTGTGGCGTTGGCGGATGTGGCGTGCGGCTCTGGCACCCTGCATGTCACGATTTGAGGCTGCGCAGCCTTGCAGTCACCAAAAATGGCACCGCTCGCAGGCGTTCATGGAACCACTTGTGCCAAGCAGTGTCGACGTCAACGTGGTGGCTGTTCACAGGAGCGGTTGAATGCTCTTGTCGTATTCGGACTATGCCACCATAGTTGTTGCAACCAAAGCGGATGAATCACTGAAATGCAGAACAATGCATCAAGCTGCGATAACATCACAAAATGCGCAACCACAACATACGAGGTGCGTACCTTGTTGTTCGACGATCACTGCCACTTAGATCCCAGAAAAATGCTAGCGGTCAAGGGTCTAACTGCTAGACTCGGAGATTTGTACCCACGTCGGCCCACGTCCGTCCGGGGAGGCGACATCATTGCCTGCGTGCGACCCAGCCGACTGTGGAATACGAGGTATGACCGAATACATGAGCTTGGATGGACGTTGGTCGAGTGTTAGGGCCAAGTGACGTTGAAATGGTTATGAAGATCTTCACAGAGATATAAGTACGGCCTCATCCTGTCCTACTTCAACTACACACACTCCAACCAAACTCAAACAAGCTCATTCCAACCAAAAACACCAACAAACTCCAAACCCGACATCATGCAGTTCTTCACTCTCGCCGCCCTCTTCGGTGCCGCCGCCATGGCAGCACCCGCTCCTCAGACCCCCGAGTGCCCCAACCCAGCTCACTGCGGTGGTGGCCCACCAGACCCAAACACTTACGAGAACATCGACTTCACCGACTACACCCTCCGCAAGAACAACGGCACTATCCAGTCCGTTTCGTTCAAGCTCACCGGCAAGAACGCCACCGACCTCGAGTGCTCTGGTGGTCCTTACCCTGTCCTTCCTGCTGAGGTTGAGACTTGCGGTGACTCCAAGTACCGCTTCGGCATGTACCAGCCTGAGAACAGCACCGACACCTTCGCTATCCGCGTCTACCACGAGCTTGGCACTGCGTACGTATCCCGAGCATCTACTTTCATGAACAACAAGCTAACCAATTTTAATAGTTTCGGCTTCTGGGGCGAGGGCGAAGTTCCCACCTACTGCCACGCTGGTGGTAATGGCATCAACGACTTTGTCTGCCAGCAGACCAACGCTTACACTATGGTCATTACTGCCTCTGGTTAAATATCCTCTACACTTGAAGGATAACCAAATACCTTTTGTACATACTGTTTTATACCACTTCACAAGTAATATAATTATCAACTTGGACGCACCAACTATTGACGGGCTACTGGCTATGAACGCCGTGTGCCACAGATCTTAGAGAGTAGTGAAATATATAAAGAGGCGAGGAATTCAGGGCAATCCTATACCAAACCTCACGTCGTCAGTGTATCTTCACATCACCTTGTGAATGAAATGCTATCAGAATCGCACATGGAGAACAGTAAGTAACGATTGTAGGCTCTATTCAAGATTGGGATTCCAAGGGCTCTGTAAGCCGAACATGTCACATAACATGTATTACAGTAAGCTTTCTTATCCTTAAAGGCCCTAATCTATGTACTTGCCCTCAACTCTATCTTCCTAACAACAACAGTAACATCAGGCATACTACATGAATAGCGGCACTTTTATCATTCTGCTAACAGTCACCTTCCCTACTCTCGCGATACTATCCTTTCTCTTCTCGCTAGCAACATACTTTCTACCCCCAAGAGTACATCCAGGAACGAGAGCTCGTGTGGAGAACCTCGAGGAACTTTTGGATATCATACCGGAGATAGTTGAACACATTAAGAATCTAAGAAGAGTGGTCACTCACGAAAAGAGAAGGAAGAGGAAGCTGCAGAGTGATCTCAGAAATAGTGTGCCAATGGTAGGTATACTCGGTGGATCTGGCTCCTTGCTGGACGATGACGACGCACTTGAGACGGCGTCTGCTACAGAGTTACCGCCCAGCCCTGAGCATGAACCTTCATCTATGAATGGTACAGCAGATATCCTTCCGCAACTAGTACTCCATGTTGGGAATGAAGAAAACGGCTTCTCTCTACGTCTTCAACCAGTTTTCATCTATGAACATATTGGAACGCCCTCCTCCATTGGATATCAGCCAACCCTCACCATTAACTATCGGCCAATTGTCATCCACGATTATCCACCTGCGTCTTCTACCCATGATGAATTCGCCGAGCGTGTTACTGCACGCGCAGGAGATATCCGTCCCCGTCCTCGCCTCTCTATGCCCGAGCTCAATGAAGCCATTGGAGATTGGGGTAACGTAGTGAACACACCTGAAGGTCCAGTTCTGCGCATCCATGGGGAGGAAGGCCATGAATTCCATATTCGGCAACGTGCGGACAGCCGGCAAAACGGTGAGCACAGGACGAATAGATACGCGACAGCTACTCAGATTATCCATCCGAGCACGTATACCGCGCGTGTCGTGGAATCGACAACACCGGACTCTTCCACGCGGTCGTCGCGCAGCGCATCGCTAAGTGGGACTACCCTGGTTGACTCAGTTGCGAGTTTTAGCATCGATGATGACGATAATGATGCAGTAGTTCCCAATGGTGACATAGATGGTGCGCCATTGGGAAACGATGAGATCTATCGGAATAACGCCTATGAGACACCCGCTGCTAATGTGCGACGACGCCGAGCTGTTAGCAATATAAGGAGGACCGCTAGACAGAATGCACATGCGGAGAGAGACAACGCGATGATGAACGAGGAGGATGGGAATGTTGATGTAGCGGAGGCGGAGGATGTGTGGTGGGGTCTACGACACCGGAGGAGGGATAGCATGGAGGTGGAGATGATGCAGCATATGCTTAGTCGAGAGCGCGCGATACAGGCAGAGCAGACACATCGTGTTGAAACGAATGGCGGTGAGAGCGACGGGGGTAACGAGTCATCTGACGGCTTGTTGGGGGAGGCAAGAAGGCCTGCTAGCGGGTAGGTGTCTAAGCAAAAGTTTTGACCGACAGGAAAACTGCACGGTAGTTACTTGATCTGTCGTGTAATAAACCTGCGGTCTAGATTCGCCTTATCTCGTGATATTGTAGGCGCATGAACTCGTTCTGGGGTGCTTCAAGTGCAGACACTTCCAGGCAGATAACGCAACGACGAGTAAATATCAGTTTTTGGAGACCTTTGGGTGCTTTCCTATATATCTATGCTCTACCACATACTATCAAGTTTCCTACACGCAATGCAGTTCTGAACACTCTGCCCCTTGTCCTAGCGTTTTCAATGATACAGTCCACTGTGTCTCTTATACCGCTGAGAAAGTCATATCTTTATAGCGCTTCTCCAGATCCTCATAGTAAAACATGTTGGACATCATTCCTCCTCTTTACTTATAACATGAACAGTTGTCGAAGATATAGTGGGCTCGATAATACATTCGTTGAAGCGTTGTCAGATGTTCGCGCAAACCGTTAAGATGGTCTCAGCTGCTCCGTCTTCGAGGGATCGCAGGCCAGCGACGGGCGTAGAAGGCGATCGTAGCTGTCCCTCGCTGAACGCCATCCTGGAACGCAAGCTCAATGTCCTGGACCGAATGAGCCTGCGATCTAAGCGTTATAGCGAACGCTCTAGCAATGATGCCTGACGTATAGTGACTTTCTGATAAGACTTGTTTTAGCTGGAACGAGTCTACCAGGGACGATACGAGTCCTTTTATATGTGCTAAGCTTGTTTTGTTGCGATGCATGCCAAATGCCCGGGACACCATAGCCATAGCTCGTGCCGTGCCAACGTTTATGCTGTTATTCTTATCCCGTATTCGCGAGGAGACATACTGCGTCCTGCGGCCAGATTGTATCTCGTTGAGACTTAGTACGTCTTCACATGTCTGTTCTTGATTGGAGAGTTGGCGCAACTCTGAGAGCGGGAAGTGAGAGATGATGGCTGCAGCAGGTACAGAAGCCCATACCATCCGCTCTGACGAATGTTAGTATCAACACAGCATATATCGCGTATTGTTGTATTACCTGCATGTCCTTTATATCTGGCCCACCAAGCTTGGCCTTCTGCTTTTAACATGCGCAGGATTTCTGCTGCTGGTAAGGTTTTGTTTGGTTGTTGGAGTAATGCGTGATCGAGCGCGACTACATGTAAGATTAACAATTAGCCATGAACAACGAGTTTATTAGAGAATGAAACATACCGACAGCTATCCTGGGGTCTTTCATTGTGGAAGCCTTAACGAGCGCCTGTAGAAGACTAGTTGAGACAGATACAAACGCGGATGCACCACCGCTCATTGAGAGATGCAAGTTTGTGAGAATCATGAGCGCCTGTCGTCCTTGACCATCAGGGGAGAAGGGCGGTGGATATTCACCCTTCCAGATTGAGAACGCTTGGCTCACGAAGCCAGTCTCTTCGTCGAACATCGTCCTGCTGTTTGCATCCCATACCCTGAACCCAATAGAATTGGTGGTAGGCAAGGAACTAGGGCTTGGTTGCGTAAATGTAACCGGGGATGTGTTAAGATCCTCAACATCCGACCAGTTCTCTTCATCTTCATATTTAACGTCCGCTGCTAGAGTTACTCCTCCAAGCGGAGGAACCTGTGCTGATGATCCTTGAACATTTGGCGCTAGAGGTACACAAGACATCTTCCTCTCTCTCTCTGCCGCGCGCCGAACTAGAGATTTCCAGTACTTCCTTGTGGTCGGAGATCTCGCGTATTGAGCTAAACCAGACTTTCGTTTGACCTCGATTCTCCGCCGCGACAAGTTAATGCCATATTCAGCCGCCTTCTCTTCGACGATCGCACGTATTTCACCGTACTTCTGCATAGGATCATGAAAAGGTACAGCCATGACGCGACCGAATTCTGGGTAAGCACGTGGGCCGTACAAGACCAGGTGGCTGTCGAACTGATAGCGAATAACTGAAAGTCGTAGATCTTGGTCAGTAACAGCATTGAAAGTCCTCGGAAGCGTCGTTGCGTCTTTGTCACTGTACCATCGGTAAAGGATCGTCAGCAGCTCCCGCTCATCTTCATCCCACTGGTGGGGTGGGTCACGTTCGAGGCGTTTCAATGCTGCTAATGAATCGAAGCCACTAGGCTCACCATATTTTGGTACGGCATCGAGTGTCTTGTGGACGTTTGCCATCCCGAAGTTGAGAGTTCGACGTACCGGTGGCGTTCGTTCAATATTGGAAACTTCGAGATGACGGCTTGTCTTCGAAGAATTGTGCAGCTTAGTAGAGACGATTCCGCCTGAAATCAGCGGGCATGGACTTGATAATGGCTCTGTACTTCCTGAAGCGTATCGTGATGTGCCTAGAGGATTTTCCATCGCAAGATCTTCGTCAGGCTCGCTCTTGATATACGATCCGAAGAGGCCCTCAATAGAAGGTAGTACCAAGTCTTGCTCATTGCTGTCTTCGCAGTCATCGTGATTGCTAGCTAACATTGGTCGTAGGCTGTTAGCCCTTGCCCTGTAACACTGTAGGCAAGAATAATTGGTGACCACTTACCTTGAATATCAGTTTCTGCCACGTTGTCTGGTTGCTCTAGAGCATGCGCGCCTTGCAGTGCCGTAGCTGTCACAGCTTCTACGGCCGGCTCCCACAGCATTACGCCGGCATCTGCAAGCCTCCAGGTGTGTCTTGTCATTGCGATGTTATAAGTGAGAAGCTGCTTGAAGAGTTTTCATGGATCAGACAGCCAAATCAAGGCGCGTTGAACTGTAACCATCATGTTGGCACGCCAAGAAGACGTGTGAGAACGCGTCTGACGTGTCATGAGCGCGTTACGTGTGGTGAGGGAACAGAGGGGGCTTCTTTTGTTAAACTGTCCAGGACAATGAGTCAGGGTGTTTACTTGGGTCAAGGCAGTGACTGTGCAGTAGAGGTAGTTGATCTTATACCTAGTGATCATGGCGTCTACGTGGTGTCATGGAATGCACCTGAGATATGAATTGAGGGTTTAATTGGCGGTGAAGTTCTATCGCTCTGCCGAAGTTGTTAGTGATGAAGTTCGCCTGCATGCTGTTCCTGACGCTCTCACTTTCCAGGACGATGAAAAAAGCCGCTGACTGAAAATAAAGCAGCTTTACTAGTATAATCGTTTGAATTATGTAGAGAAGGAAAGAGGAAGGTTGGACTGTAAAGTAAGATAGACTAGCTCTATCGACAGTTGTCTTACTGCCCATGCTACTGTCTTGACTTTACTAGACTGTACGGAGGAGTAAAATTTGATAGGAACAGATAGAACAGTGAAGCCTAGTAGCCGTATTTAACATGTAAAAGTCGGACTGATTACAGACAGCCTCCGAGTGTGTCCCACCTTGAGCTTCGTGATGACATCGTTGAGGAGAAGGGCGATAGATTGGAAAAGAAAGATGATGTGTCTAATCGGACTGATGAGATGAAAAGCAGATACCTTCCCACGCTACGTTACATTCGTTACTCAGGGTTGAGATGTTGAAAAGTGAAATAGGATGCAAGCGCATAACTTTTGGCGTCAGAGACGAAGCATAGATGTGAACAGTCCGCCCTTCGAGAAGATATGGTATGCAAAGAGCCAGGAGCGCCTGCGCAATGCTTCGATAGATATCCATGAAGTAGGAACAACCAAGAAAATGGATGTTTGAAGACGTTGTCGTCTATCGGTCCGAGTGTTTGGAGGATGCGGATGCGTGGGGTCGTCTGGTCAGGTCCACATGAAAAGTGCGACTCTGCGGCGCAGTGCGCGTTCGTACCGAATCGTTGATGTGACCTGGTGACGGGTTGTTGGGTTTGCATAAGCGCCCGAGTAGTGCTGTGGCTGCTGCGAACACGCATATGCGGTTCATGGACCGCATGCGGGACCTAGAACGTGATCGCACCTGCAGACAAGCTACAACCGGTTCGATAGTAAATTGCTTCTTACGCCCAGGTCACCACCAACAACACTATGCGCATGGCTTTCCATATCTGACGGACTGATGGTCGCTCATTTATGACCATGCTGCTCGGTGCAGATCTTCCTCACGACCCACTTCTCCCAGAATTTGCGTTGCTGATTGGTGACCATGACTCCATCATCCCCTAGAGCGTCCACGCTATCCATGTGGCCATTGCAGTTGCACCATGTTATTGAAGCCGGTGTGTCTGGCATTGGTGGAAAGTGCAGAGTACCGCCTTGTTCAGGCTCATCCGTCTCTGCATCGGATTCGGTGCCAGCTATCGAGCTACCGTCAGCATCATTTCCACTACCACTGTGGTCATCGGATGGATCGTCGTGTTCACCATCGTATTCGTAGTGGCTGTCATCGTCGCTTTCGTCGCTGCTATCACTTCCTAGAGGATCATCGGGGACTTCGGCTCCCATGACAAACTGCTCGTCGAAGTGTTTTTCGTATCCGATTCGCCGGAGACTGACCCAGTCGAGTCTTGTGAGGTCGTCACGTAGACAGGGGAGCACATCCCTCCACATACTGCCATCTTTTAAGAGCACATCTCGAAGGCGCAAACCACGCAGTGTGTCTTTGTGTCGCTGAGCGATACCCAGGATTTCATCTGCGTTAAGACGCCAGGCTTGGATTCCAAAGGCTGCAAGATAAAGTTAGTCTATGTCGCAGTGCGTCTCATACCTTCAAAACATACCCTGCAACTTTTCCCATTTGACATTGTGGAAAAGCTCTTCTAGTCGTAACGTGAGTGGCCGATATGAAGGGAAACCAATATGCACTGCTTCGATGTTCTTAGCCGCAGTGAATAGTGCCTTGGACAATGAGGATAGATGTCGCATCCGTACGTCCAGGTCCGTGCTATCATCGAAATGTAACTCTAGACAAGTGAGGCGTTCGGCCAGAATTCCCAACGTTGAGGGGGGGTTATTGGCGGCACCTAGAACACTCTGAGGACTTAACATGGGTGATGAGAACCTTGAGCATGGTGATTCGGACTCAAGGAGAGCTTGACCGATCGTTTTCGCGCTATGCAGGCATGCTGGTGGCCATGTCGGCACTAGACTGTTCAGTTCGTTGTGACCCCGCATATACGAAATCAACACCGCATCTTGCTGGTCCTGCAGTCGCAGGATTTGAACATGCTGGAGTGAAGTGAATCGCTGGAGCGCAAAGTGCAAAATACGAGCATCTTTTCTTGTCCGTAGGATGTCCCTTTGCTCGTTTACTTTTTCTTGAAAGTGACCGACATCAAGGAAGCCGAAACTCTCAGGCCGTGTGCGTAAAAGCTCCTGAATGCGCTCTCGTCCTGTAACTTGGTCAGTTTCAAAGATGGCAGAAGCAGGATCTGTGATGATACCTTGATCATAGAAGAACGGTACCATGTAACTGAACTTCTTCACGCGGCCCGCAATGTGCGGCTGATTTGCAATCTTCTCTAGGCGTTCAAGTCCTTTCCGCGAGAAGCGTGTGGTAACGCGAGAGAACTGCAGACGTGAAGATACGAAGTCAGTGTACGTCTCTCATGCATCTCGTACAGGCACAACTTAACCTGATGAATCACCCCGAGCAAGGCGAACTTTCTGCATGTGAGGCGAAATTTCGCAACGGTGTCGGCGTCGTCAGGCTCTAGAGGCAGAGGTAGCTTAAAGCTCTCCTGTGAGAGATAGGCACGGCGCTCCAGGCTGATTGGTTTTTCTGGTTCAGAGGCAACATATTCGAGGATGATGCGAAGAAGCTCGTCGGCAAGATCGAGGATACCCATTTTAAGTGGGACCATTCATGACGACCGCGGAGGAGGAGCTCAACCACGAAGCTTAAGCTCCCAAGCGATTTAGGAGCGCACCGCACAGCGGATATACTTTGGGTGCAGGGCAGCAGAGTTCGGGCCGGGTCGGGATACTCGTCTGACGGGTGGTGGTAGTTGGATAGCGACAGCGGGAGAGGGTCATCAACTGACGACGTGGTGTTATCCGACGGCACCGTTCTGTGGGATAGCAAGCGAAGGACAGCCAGAGGGGCGCGGTAGGGGGAAGAAATGCATGACCTCTTTGCCAGCAGTCAGCTAAGCGTCGCTGGAGTTGCGAAGACGACTGGACACGAAGCCTGGCCTTGCAGCGACAATCCCGGTACGCCCGCTTCAAAATCTCCAATGGCACGCGGTGAATTAGACTGCAACAGGAATAGTGTGCTGCAGTAGTCCATAGCGACAAATCGACTCTTTTAGCTCGGGAGGAGCCATGTTCCCGTCTTGCTGATGGCGGACACCCGCATCGGCCTTCGACCACGTGATAATACTCACTGGGGTGGGGCTGCAAATTTCCATGGCGTTGCCAACACAGCATGCATCAGAAGCGCTTGTGACGCCAATCAGCCGCAGAAAAAAGCGTCATCCGACCGATACCACTGCCGTGTACTTGGGATGGCGTTTGCGCTATGCGAAACAATGGAGCGTCTTATGACGACACAGAGCTTGGGAGCCTCATAGTGGGCTGAAACGGGTGGTCAAGAGTGCAATGTAATTATGCTGTAGAAGCGCGTCATTCTCTCCTGTTTCGCATGCGTCAAAGACATTCATTACGGAGAGTCTACATCCGTAAGTCAGCTCGCACATGATGACGCTCTAATGCATTCAGACTGTCGACTATGGCGACGTGTTGCTTCACAAGCCCTATGCCGGCCCTGGTAATGTCATGCGGACCTGCGCGGTCGTGTGGCTTTGGCGCACGCAACTGTCGTGCAATGTCGCACAAGAAATGACACTAGACAACCTCCTGCTTCGTCAACTTGTCGACATGGGAAGTCGACAACGCCTCTGCTCACATACTGTCTGCCAACAAACACTCCGAGACGTGTCTCTTTCATCTCCCTGCTCAGACCCTGATCAACATGGTTCACGCTTTCGCCCTGGATTGAACACGTTCGCTCCTTTTACGACGAATCTCGGTGCTGCTCAGCTTGCTCTGGAACGTCTCGTCTACATTGCCTTCCTCGCTGGCATCGAGAACGGCAACCTCAAAAATATCGAGGGGATTCCATCCCTGCTCACTGCGCTTGTTGTTCACAGCAGCACCTCCTCCCCTTGTTTCAAGAGAGAGCACCAGGGCAGAAATTTCTTTGTCAGTGATTGTTGGGCCGAAAGGGTCCCAGATCTCGACGTATTTAATAGTGAGCCCAAAAGGATAGCTGACGTGGACGGCATGTCCGTTCGGCCCGGGTTCCTTGATCTCTTCAACGTGGATACGCTCGTCGCCTGGGGGGCCAAAGTAGACGATAGATGAAAGGAAGTTGTGTGTCGATTCTTGACGCTCTTTCCAGCTCTCGAGGTGCTCTGCGAACTTTTTATTTACTAGCAAAGCATCTCCAGTAATTCCAACGGTAAGCACGCTGGAAGTTGTGTCAGAAGGAGATGCTTGTCGTCTTCCCAACATGAAGGCAAACATGGTGAGCAGTAGTTTGTGACCAATGTGGAGGTGATCAAAAGTGCCTCCGACGGCAACGGACATGTGGTTGATTGAGTTGTCTGAGTTACCGGTAGACGATGATGATTCTGGGGTTTCTACACTGACAATGCCACCGCGAACTTTAGATATGGGCGTCTGAGTTTGGGATAAAGAAAGAAAGCTTTTTAGTACGCGCTCCCCTTCCTCGCTCTCGACCGAGTAGATAGTATCCCATGACCGAGAACTCCGGGCTAGCGTATGGATATCGATAGCAGGGCCTTGGAGTTCCTGCTCAGGAGATGAATCGGGCAGCGGCGTCGTCAATTGGCCATCCCGAGGATATGCGACTAATATGACGCGAGCATCAACGCCCTCAGAGTCTTCTGTATCGATAGATTCTCTACTAGCCGTGATGCAGATGAGCTTGTAGAGGTCGGCAACCAATTGTTGAGTAGTCGCATAGTGTACGCCGCGGGGCGCATCTAGATGTCCGTACAGATGCGGGCATGGCAGTGCAATTTCTAAAACGGTGGGTTCTTTTGATACGCGAGGAGATGTGGCCAGCTCTCTCAAGACAGTGAACAAGGGTGAGTTGTAGGCGGCCTTGAGCGCAGCATATGACGGTGGTGAGGGCGCAGGCGGCAGCAACAGCAGTGCACGATGGACAGGCTTGCGTGATGGAGGCATGGCTGTAAGATTTGGTCAAGGAAGCTGCGGTTGGTAGAAACTGTGACCCTGGGTCATGAACTATAGCCTGGAAGCGAGCTGGAATCACATATACTCTGAGCCCTGGGTAGGCGTGAAGGGAGGGTTCGGAGGGGTGGTGGGGAACTTTTACCGAGATAGAGCCGCCGCTGCCCAGCAAGTCGACGCCAACCGCACTTCCAGCTCCTGGACGATTGATTACGCGCTGCGACAAACCACAGTCTCTCTTTTATCTGCCTGAGCCAGCGCAGTAGTAATTGCAGGCGCCATGCCCTTCGGAAACCACCACCACAATGCGCAGAACGACCCGGCGCAGGGCATCTTCGCAGCGGCTTCGGCGCTAGGGAGTATGTAGGCTCACTTCTGGGGGGCATCTACCGTTGAACTTGGGCTGATGTGTGTTCTGCGATACTAGGCATAGGAGCGCCTGGAGGCAATCTGCGAGGAGCAACCCAGGGCACCACGCGGGCTGGCACCGACGCCTTTATGCCGCAGAGCAGCGGGAATGCCCAAGGACAGAGCGAAGGCTACATGGCCTCGACGGCGCCGCCAGCAGCCAACTCGAGCTTCGACGCCCCGCGACATAGAGCCCCGACCACAGGCGGACGCACCAACGAGGAGCTGCACATATCGACGGCGGTAGGCCAGCATGTCCCAGTACCCTCGTCCGTACCGGCGCAGCAGCAGGCAATGTACAACTCGCCCGACAATTATCGATCGGCGCCCAACATCAACATCGACCATGGAACCCCTCAGAACAGCCAGTATGGCTCCCCGGCCGTCCCCGGTAGCCTCCAGCCCGCCGGCGGTTCAGGGCAGCAACAGCAACAACAACAGCCGCCGCAACAACAATCACAACAGCCACAACAGCAGCAGCAACAGCAGCAGCAACAGCAGCAGCGACCGGCACCCAACGCCGCTTACACCGCGCCCGTCGTGCCTACCCAGACCCAGATAGCGAGCAACGCCCAGCAATACACGCTCCCCACGCGCTCCAACACCATCAGCCAAGCACAGCACTCTCCCCACTCAGGGTCGCATTCCTACTCGCGCTCGAGCCCAGCTGGCCTGGGGCCCGACCAGAAATACATTCCCTTTTCCAACACGCCCGAGCAGTCCAAGTACGCCGCCGGCACCCCTGCGCAAAAGTACTATCCTACCACTCCCTCCGGCGCTGCATCGCAATCGCCCCTGGGCCTGGCTGATATCAGGCCGCGCGCAAACTCGACCATGGACCAGGAGGGCGGCATGGGACACGGCAACACCATGGTCACCGACGGAAACAAGGTGCCCTCCAACAGCAACTACCTTGCGCCCTGGAGCATATACGCCTACGACTGGTGCAAATGGAACGTCCCCGGCGGCAACAGCGCTGGCAAGATGGCCGTGGGCAGCTATCTCGAAGACAACCACAACTTCGTGAGTACGAGACTGACTTTCACATGCGCCATGCTGACGCGACTTCTAGATTCGCATTCTCGACACCCAAATAGCGCCCCAAGACACGTCTGTCCCCGGCGCCACACCCTACGGCCTCGAATACAATGCCATCGCTGAAGCCACATGTTCTTTCCCTGTCACGAGAATACTGTGGGAGCCGCCATCCTCGCAGAAGCAGTCGACCGACCTCCTCGCAACGTCTGGTGATCATCTGCGGTTATGGTCATTGCCTCAAGCCTCTGGCAACAACATGAGCAACACAATCACCCGCTCATCCTCCGTAAACACTCGCGAGCCACAGCTCCCTAAGCTTACACCACTCGCGCTTCTCTCCAACTCAAAGACCCCTGAACACACTGCGCCCCTCACCTCGCTCGACTGGAACACCATGTCGCCGAAGCTCATCATCACCTCAAGCATAGACACGACATGTACCATTTGGGACATACCCTCCCTCACCGCCAAGACACAATTGATTGCCCACGACAAGGAGGTCTTCGATGTACGCTTCTGCGCAGGGAGCGTTGATGTCTTTGTGAGTTGTGGAGCCGACGGTAGTGTTCGCATGTTCGATCTCCGCAGTCTCGAGCACAGCACCATCATCTACGAGCCTTCAGACAAGGGCAATGACAAAGACAAGGGTAAGTCCTGGTGTGTTTACTTTCCACGTCAATCACTAACATATTACAGGCTCGCCAACAGGTCGCATGTCTCCGACCAAAGCCCAACAGACCATGTCGTATGCGCCTCCGCTCCTCCGGCTCGCCGCATCACCACATGACTCCCATCTTCTCGCTACCTTCGCCGCCGACTCAAACCTCATCCGCATCCTCGATGTGCGACAACCGGGCCAGGCCCTCCTCGAACTTCGCGGCCATTCTGCATCTGTCAACAGCATAGAGTGGAACCCGTCACGAAGAGGCATGCTCGCATCTGGTGGTGACGACTCACTGGTCCTCATATGGGATCTTCTTCATGCAAACAATGGCGCGACTATCAGCGGAGAACATGCTTCAGCACAGCCTCCAGTCGTACAGCCAGCGACTACACATTCCGCCAATGGGGCTGCAGGTGCGCAGAATGTACCTGTGGGTCAGAAAGGACCTTATGCCAGCTGGAGGTGCGACTACGAAGTCGGCAACATTAGCTGGGCACCTCAGAGCGCATTGACAGGGCAAGGCGGCGAGTGGGTTGGTGTCGCCGGCGGACGTGGAGTCTGGGGCGTCAAGTTATGATGAGCGTTACGTTATCTTGCTGTTAAGGACTGGGTACACTCTAGGAGACGACATGAAATGCCCATGTACGATCTGACGCCTTTCTTTGCAAGACGGGATGGCAAGGAGGAAAAGTGCATAGCTTCCGGTACTACTTTCTGAGCACAATAGTTCAAGGGCGTTGCGGCGGGTTTGATGCATATCCAAGATACCTGAAAGTGCAAGATTCTGTCTTCTATATTGCGATTTTGCGCTACGCTGTTCGTGTTTGCTTGAGATGACTTCTTTTTCCACCGTTTGGCCCTTTTCACAATTTCTTTCCACAACCAGCGTATATTTATCGAATAACAACTTCAACGACAACCTCGTTGCTCCATCCAGCCTTTGAATCAGTTTCTTTCCACGCACGAACGGTATCGATTTCAAGCACATTCTCGCATTCCTTGCTAACACTGACGCAGTGAGCTGGGACAGGGCGGCCGAAAAGCACAGCGAAGAAGTCGTTCTCAATAGAGCGCTTGGGCAAATCCGAGACGTAAAGTGCTGTGTATTGTTAGCCAGGATGTCAATAGTGAAGAGAGAGGTGGGGGGGGGGGGGGGAAATAAAGAACAGAAACTCACCGAAAGTGCCCAAAACCTTGCAACTCGTCCAAACCCTCAGTCTTCCCGAGTTCCTATCTACATACGCATCTGCACTAATAATGGCCGCTGCACCCGTCATCTTTCCTACAATGCCCAGATTCGCCACACTAATCTTACTCGGACCTTTTGCCTCACTATCTTGTCCCCTCTTGAGTTCGAGATCCAGTAATGGATACGCAGAGAGGATCTCCCAGCCCCTGATTGGCAAATCAAGGTGTACAAAGGCCTTGTTCGTCGCCACACTGGTCGGTTCCGTAACCTGACCGTCAGTATGCGAACGAATGATGTACGTACCCTTTTCCGCACCAGGGAAAGCGTCCAGAGCAATGAGTTCAGAGACTGGCTTGGGTGTGCAGTTGAAGACACCGAGGATCGAGACGCCGGTGTGTGCCATGCCGACGTAGGTCGTTACTTTGAGGAGGACCATATCATCATAGGCGTTGTAGGCTTGTGTTGTCTTGCCTACGTTGTGGGGACGTAGAATGACGGTGTCCCCTCGGGGCGTCTTTCCTGTCATCTGGTGGATGAGATCGATGTCGTGTTGGCCGGGCACGTCGGTAATGTAAATCGGTCCGCCCGATACGCAACGCGCAGCGGCATGGAAGGCAGCATAGTCATGACTTGTTTGGAACATGTCCCAGTCTGGGAGGATGTTGAGGTATTGTGTTATAATGGAGTTGTGGGCGTTGCAGAATATGTGCCAGGGGTGGCTGGCGGGCACTTCGGGGAAGAAGTCGTCCGAGTTGCGAAGTAGCATGCGTGGTTTGTTGGAGGGAAGTTGAGAGTGAAAGATCAGAGGGGGTGCTTGTGACATGCAGGATATTGCGCGGGCGGAAAAGGAGCGCAGTTGGGCGATGGACCAGGCGTCCTGATAAGACTTCATTAGTTTGCGGCGGTCGTCTGCATCGTGGAGTTCATCGAGGAAGAATTGCGCGTCTGTTTTCACGGAGTCGATACCGCACGAGGACAGGAACTCGTAGAAGTCCTTGTAGAAACGGTCTACATCTTCCTCAGCTACGACGGTGATTTTTCCGCCGGATACACCGTCTTTCAGTTGTACCTTGGTGGTCTTGTAGTCTTTGGCTATCTTCCCCTCGGGAGCTATACCGCCCCAATATCCAAAGATCGCGTGCCAAACAGCGATGTGTCGGATGTGACTATACTTCTCTCGGATGTCGCTCACTGTTGCTTTCAGACCACGGGGAAACCCAGTTTTGGTTGCTTCAAACTCCATCCAAGCGTTGTTAAACTGGTCCCCGCCTTCAGTGTTGAGTGACTGCCAATTGTCGTCTATAATCAGATTACTGATATTGATCTCGTTCTTGCGAAGTGACTCCAAGGCATCGAAAACCTTATCTTCGGTGAGCTTTTGGCCAAGACCGTTCCAGGTGCAGTACGTCAAGCCGTCGTACCAGTTCTCTAGCCATTGCGGTTTGAAGTCGTCAACCAAAGCCTTCTCCTCTTCATTGATTTGCCCCGTCGATGCTTCATATGCCATTACGAGCTTGCGAGCATAGTACATGGAGGCTGCTACTGCGTCGTCCAACTTTCTGCCTACTGCAGCAACAATGCGTACAGTGCCGTCTTTTTCGCTATCATTCTTGGCGTTCATGACGACTCTGCCGTCACTATCGTGATTGAGAAGTGTTAGTACCTCGTCTAATCCACTCACTGCGAGAAGAACCAGATGAGAGCCGTCATGGCGCTCGAACGCTGCCAACATAGCATCCTTGTCTGGCTGGAATCGGTCCTTGCCCTGTCTCGGAGCGAGCCATGGAGCCCATAATCTGACTTCAGCGAACCAACGTGAGAGATTCGTCGGCTTGCCAAGCCTCTCGCTCGATTGACCGGATGTC